AAGTAGTGTGCGAAGTACACTCCCGTAGCTAAGGCCTTCTTGCACAGCCAAACTGCGCACTGAGTTGGACAAGAGAGGTTGACAAAAGAAACGGGCACAAAGATTGCACAAGAGGTGTTGTAGAGCATCATGGGCAGCATCACGCACAGCGTCACGCGCAGCATGATTTGCAACATCATGCGCAGCATCACGCACGGCGCCACGCACAGCGTCGCGCACAGCGTCAACGAGAAATTGCGAAGCATGACGCTAAGCTTGCTCATCAGAACTTGCAGAGGCTTGGCTTGAGCAGGGACGTTGACGTGTTTACGCTTTGTTTTTCATGAGGTGGGGGAGGCGTCAGAGTTGATTTAACGTGTTACTTTGCTTCCGGGCCACCCATCGTCTAGTTTTTCCGCAACAGCTGAAAGCTTTGGCGAGGGCTGCGGGGTGGTGCGAGCACTAAAAAGAGCACCGCGTTCTGTTGGGGGTATCACCTGCGCTTAGTTTTTCTCCTTTTTTCCGACTGGCGTCATTTTTTGGACAATTTCTGGGGGTTATCAAAGTCAAAGACTGGCGTGGTGTCCCCTCAACCTACTTCTTAGGGGGTGACTTTGAGAATGGTACAATAATGAACACCTTCCCAGTTTGTGAACTGTATCTACCAGTTGGTGCAGAATTTCGTCCATTGACAACGCCTCAATAAAGCAAACATTATTCTACTAGCACTGCGACCTCATTTGGTTGTGAAACTCAACAAGCCCATTCAAAGTATTTAGTGCCAAAAACAGGTGTCGCCATGCTTGGATGGTTTTACAGAGGATCCATGGCTTTGTCCCCGTGTGGACACCCCCTTTGAATGCAGACTATTCCTGGAGTGTCTGCTCCCAACGTTTTTTGGTTGTGTGTTTTTTTACTAAATTTCAAAAAAAACTCAGATATGGGCATGTTTTCTTTTAACACCAAAATGGTGGTTTCCCTTTAGAACCAAGAAAGGACAGGGACCAATTGCAGAAAGACACAGCCAGCCATATGTTAGCCTGCGTGCCCCTTGGTCCAAGACCGTGGCCAAACCAGTCCCTAGACTTCATGGGATGAGTGTTCTTCCATGTGCGTCAGAATATGTTTTCACTTCCCCTTTTTGGTTTTTCAGGGAATCGATTTCACTACTGGACATGTTTTCTCATTTTTCCAGAGATGGAAGTTTGTGAGATCCAATTCGAATAGACCGGGCAAGCTTTGATTTACACCCGAGTGAACAACGAAGTTTTATACTCCAACTTTTTATGTGTACCAGCTTGTATATGTGGAGATGACTTGGCATGGTATTCTTCTCTATGAGGGACTTGCAAAAAGGCATTTGTTTCTTACCCGGGTTTCGCTTCAAGTGGTGCAGCTAAACCTGAGTTACGAGGCTTGCACTATGAACTTGCACTTGGAAGGCTTCTGCCATTTGCTGAGGAAGTCTTGTTTGCCCCTGTTGGTCTGAAAGGCAAGCTACCACTGGTGGATGTCTATATCTCGTTTTTGTCTAGGGGATGAACAACGCAAATGAAGGCTTTGATTCGGGAAACTTTGAAATTTCTAGAGGTTCCTCCGGTCCATGGCACTCACCATCCCTCAAGGCAAATGGCAACCAAAAAACCCAGTCAGGTTCCACGGCAACGAGGGTGACCTTCCCCATTTGCAGGGATCCCTCTGAAAAAAGGACATGCTGAAAGGAGCGCGATAGCAATTCTGAAAAGAAGGATCGTGAGAGAAAGCGTTCTCCCAAGTCGATCCACACAGAAAATACTCTGACAGGACGCAAACACAACAGCAGCAGTTCTTTCAACCAATCCGTTTTAATTTTTGTTTGGGTCTTGGGACGGTTTGAGAAGGGAAAAGGACTCATCCCCTAGATTTGGGGGTGTCCTTTTTTCCCCTCTCCCCGCTCCCCCCCGAAAAAAGAGAGAAAGTAAACAAAGAAACACAAAAACAAAATAAATAATAATAACAAAAAACACAGGGAAGCAAAAAGACAAAAAACAACACAAGCACGGTTTGGTGTCCTTCTGGTTTCCGTTGAAAAGTGCACTCCATTTCAGGGGTGTCCATAGAGCCATCCCTTTCCCCCAACGAGGCTCACACAAAGCAGTTGCGAGGTCGTGGATGCCCTGATCAAGGCCCAGCGCAGCGAGCGCTGAATTCGCGCTGAATCCGCGCGCGCGCTGAATGAGCCCTGGCCCAGGAAAGCCAGGAAAGCCAGACAACCATACGGTGGATGGACGAAATCCATTTCGCACCACGAAGTGAAACCCCAGAAAAATAGATGGCGATTCCTGGTTTACCTGGTGGTTTAATCATCTACCAGGGCCATCTATTTCCCCTAAAAGGACACCTATGGTTGCAACCATAACGTTGTGGGTATTTGCAGAACCGAATCATTGGAGGGTTTCTTCGGCCGTGCGACATGGATTTCGTCCATCCACAGGCCAAAGTCTGGCGGAGCCTGAAGGTACTAGTGTGATGTGACGGTTGATGAAAGGTCCCATGTTTCTTGGGATGATCATGGCCATGGGGAAATCTCAGCAAAAAAGTCGTAGGGACGACTTGGATTTGCGGATTTCACCCGTCAATCCCAATTTTCGTGTCGTTCCAGAACACAGTTTAAATTCCCCATGGATATCACAGTCGCATGACGTACCTTTCCATTGGACGACTTGGATGGATGTCGCCTGTGATGTTTTCCCTTTTTGGCACTTGGCGGATCTCTTTGTAGATCGGCCCCACAAACCCAGCCAGAATCCCAGACGGGGTCTGAGGGCAGCGTTTGAACCGCGCAAAGCGCGCATGCGCTTGCGCTCAAGCTGTGGCCGGCCGTCGGAGCTGAGAAGTCGAGTTCGCTCAGAGCAACCGGGTGCTTCCCAAAAGAAGGAGAACTGCATCTCCCCAAGAAAGCTCGGTCCGTGAGTTCTTGACCGGGCTACTGAAAAGTTTGACTAAGTCTGTGCAAAAACAGTCTTTTGGAAAATACCTTTTTGGGGTTGGTTTAAAGGGAATTGGAAACCACCAATCTGGGGAGCCTCCCTGTTTTGAAGCAAACTTTGGAGCTGCTAGACTAAATGTGTGTTTTTGTGCCAATCGATCGGAAGTGAGAAGAAACAACACGATACTTTTTTTGGAGTCATTCTGGATTCCTGAAGCTGCACATTTGGTTCTTACCCCAACATTTGTTCGGACACCGGACATTTTTTCGCTACCAGCACCCCCAACCACTGCGTTTTGGTCGGCCCGGGAGGATTTTGGACATGGACAAACGCAGTTCTTGGGATCCGGGCGCTCGTAGGATTTGAAGACCGTTTTGGAGCGTTGCCATTGGGAAGAGCCCGAAACTCGGGCCAGCTAGGTGCCCTTTGACCCTTTTTGGGGGAAGGGTTCCCCTACTAAAATAGACTACACAAAAAAGGGTACCCTTATTCTAACCTCTCTACTGGAGGACCTAGACCCGCTGAGAATCGCCACGTGCCCCGAATGGTACAGTGACTGGGGCGAAGCGCGGTGAAATGTGCCAAAGGAGCGCTCCCTCAAACTAACGTGGAAACTCCACTGCAAATGGAACCAACTTCCAAAGGGGTTCTTGGAGCTTCCATGTTAGCCTTTGGAAGTGCATGGTTTGTTTTTGCTTTTCATGGGCCTCATTTTTTTTGGGGCCGAAGCCCATTCTTGGTTGAACAAAAAGATGGCAGAGTCTCTCAGCTGTTCCTAAAAGACGGTCACCGAAGGAAATTGGGTTGAGTCTCTTTAGTTCCCCTTCACTCTTGCGCCATGTCTGACAGATTCCCCCTTGCCAATTGCTTGGGCTCCTAGTTGAATTCTCAAGCCCAAACAAGTCCAAGGCATTTGATTCCTTAGCTTTTGAGCTTAGGGTTGAGTGGGGTTTCTTAATTTAATCCACTAGCGAAACTTTCAGCAAACGTTGCTGTCGCCACGGTCTTTTGGCCTTTTAAAAGCAACAGCCGATTGAGTCGCTTGCCGGGGGGGTTCCAATAGCCTCTGCCGCTGCCCGCATTTTCGGACCCGCAACCTTGCACCAGGTTTGTCCTCTTAAACTATGGACAAATCTATGGTTGCCCCAAACAAGTGTGGATGACAACTCTTTGAGTAGCAAGCTTCCCCCCCCCAACGAACAATCCTGATCCAGTCGGGAGGTGAGTAGAAGTGCATAGAACGACTTTTGGAAGGGAAAGTAGCCTTTGCCAAGGGAAAGGCTCTGCACACTTCGACGTGTTGGCAGGGCCAAGATTTGACCCAAGTTCCCCACTTGCATGTACTATCCTGAACGCTGGTCGCTGGTCGTATCTGGTTGGCTCGGGAGATGTTACGATAATCGCCCCATCTTTTCCGGGCCAATTGCCAAGCGCCAGCTGTGCTACTTTGGATTAGCCGTGAGTGCCGGAGGGTTCGAGTTGGGGACCTTTAACTCAGACTCTACTTGGATGTTCGATTCGTCAAGATAGTGAGTGGCTAGCCAATCCACTACAAAGAGGTGAGTTCCCCTTACTTGTGAGTCGTTAGAACCGAAGGGTTACCAACAAAACCTGTGCTTGGCGAGTCGAACGCCCAAGTCCCCTGAACCCCTCCGGACCTTGCAGCTTTGAATCTTGGGAGCCCATGGTTGTTGCTCATGAGGCAAGAGCCCTGACAACTACGGCACCAAACAGAATTTGAACATATGGGGGTTGATCTTTCTTTTCCTGGCACCAAATGACCATGGATTGTTTTTCCCATGTGGGATCTGTTTTTCGTGGTTTTCCAACCAATGATCATCCCCTGTATATCGGACAGTTCTTGAAAAGGTCATGTATGGTCGGACGTTTTGATCAGCGCACATCTGTTTTTCTGAAGTTCCCGTGGGCTTTCGGCCAAGTTTCGCTGTGGTGGGTGCTCCAAATGAAACGATCGGAGGGGCAAACCGCAGGTTTTGGTCCATGTTTCCACTTTCTAGGGCAACCCATTCCGGTTTTTTGAGCCAAAGCCAGGTGAAGCAAGTGGAGGGCCGGGGCCTCATCTCCCTGGACCTCAGCAAGTGCGCCGGATCCCCAGTCGCATCTCGAGACCCTCTTGGGGCAAACCCCGGGCTTTGCGCGTATATATGTGTGTGTATATTTATATACTTGTTAAAGCTGTATATATGTATATATATATACATATCTATATCTACGATTACATATATACATATACATATATTCATATATATATATATATATCTACAATTACATACACATATATATACATATATATACACACATATGTGTCCCCGCTGGACCCCAATCCAAAGTTAGTTTGAAGCTCACGCCGAAAGTATCGTGGTAACCTGTGCCTGGCGATCCGACCCCCCCCCTCTTGGTTTTAACCCGCTTGCCCAGTGGGTTGCTTCCTTTTTCAACTTGTGGGAAGGGTTCTGAGTCCTGAAAAAACTCCAACCAACAAAATTGGCCGCCGATCTTGTTTTCCCGTGGAAATCCACGCATCTGAGATAGGGGGGCGTAGCTCAAAAGTAGGAATCGGCCACCAAAATGGGTTGGTCTGGTAAAGGGACAAGTTGAGTAACATCTCCGGTCCGTGTAGCCACACCCAGACGGAGTGAACTCAGAAGTTTGGTCCCCAACCCCAGTAGCATCGAAGAGGAGCCCGTGTCTTAGGGATTCCACGTATTAGCTTGTGCCGAAAGGAAGGACCTCTTTGTTGTTTTTTTCCGGCTTGCACATGGCCTCGAGCAAATGCCCCACTTTGGAGGAATTGGTCGCCCAACCTTAAATACTGACTCCCTTTACTTGGCACTTGAGGCGACACGGGCACCCGCTTGCAGGAGATGGACCCCTATGTTTTTCTAGAACCGGCCATTTAAAATGCACTGGCAGGTGCACTCCGGACCCTGGCCATTGCAGGAACTTCATCTGGAAGACCCACCGTTCAGAAGCCATGGTTTCGGATTCGATTCAACGTAAAATACCAACACGTTTTGGTCTTCGGCCCGTGGCAACTCCATGCGTGGTGCGAGACATCGACCGATGTCTTCTTTGGTGCATCTTGCTTGGATGTTAGGACTTTATATTTTTTGCCAACTAATGGGTTTTCCGTATCAAGCCACTAAAAAGTCAAAACAAAAAACACTTTTCGCAGGGCTTCGCAGGCAGAAAGCGACCGATTTCTTCACCGGAGCGGGCAAGCGCGCGCGATTTCTTCGCGCGCAGTTGCGCGAGAGGTGCTGGAGATCAAGAAGGGCATGGACTTCAAGGCCAAGAAGCCCACCGAGGCCAGGAAGATCGATCTGTGGGCAAAAGGTAGGGGAAATTTCGAAAGGACAGGCCGAAAACCGCCCCATTTTTCGGTTGGGAGGTCTTGGGGAGATTGGATTGAAAGGGAAAGCAAAGGGTCAAAAAATACTGCCATTTTGGGGGGGCCAACCTTAGAAAAGACAGACCCATGCTGTGTTTAGCTACTTTGTGGCTGTTTGGTAATGGATCTTTGGACTGACTCACTTTTTGGTTGAACCAGGCCGGATTTCCGTTGGACCCACAACAAGTTGAAACTTGTTTGCAGAGGGATTGTTGCGGCGACCAAGTTTTTGGAGGTCTGAGAAAGGAAGGCTAAAAGGAAATCACCTAACAGATGTCGGGGGTCCCGAAATAAATTGGAGCAACACCCTTGTGACCAAAGTCCAACACTTCTCTTGCAAGATCTGCTTGATTTCACGGCGCCTCTTGCCAGAAGAAGCAACACATATGTTCGGGGGCACAGGCTTAGAGGCTTAGGGAAAGGGACCATCTTAACACCCCCGGCCTGTTGTTAGGCTCTTCCCTCACTCTGGTGATGAATCCCCACCAAAAACAGCCGACTGTTGGTCCTGTCCCACACAAGAACACGCATACAAGGGGGTGATAATGGTCAATGTTCTCCAGTTTCACTATTCCACCTTTTCAAGTTGTGAACACGCGAATCCACAAACGCACGAACAAGCGATCAACCAAGCCATCAATCGATCGACCGATCAATCAACCAATTTAGCAAGCAAGCAAGCAAGCAAGCAAGCAAGCAAGCAAGCAAGCAAGCAAGCAAGCAAGCAAGCAAGCAAGCAAGCAAGCAAGCAAGCAAGCAAGCAAGCAAGCACGCAATCACACAATCAGATAAACAAACCAGAAACAAGCCAGAGGGTCAACCACATTGGATGACCACTGGGAAAACCACTAAACATATGATATTTCTCTCATCAAAAAATACCCTTGGTCATTTGGGGGCCGAAGGGAATATTGATCAACCCCTATAATTTGAAAGATGATATGTCCAAGCAACATTCCCATATCTCCCCTATTTCCCATGTCCATTTCCCATATGATTCCATGTCTATTTCCCATATTGGTCCATGTCTATGTTGGCCTCCCCCCATAATTGTTGTGTTTTCCCATAACTTTTTCCCAATCATATGTTTGTTTCCAATCATATCTGTGTTTTCCCATACAATTTCCATGTGTCTTTAGCCCCCCCCCCCCCAGCCCCAAAAAGCAACCTGCGGCAGGCGCCGGTGGCGCAGTTCACGGACGAGTCCCTAGCCACCTCGGCCGGGAGCTTTGGAGCTGCTCGCGGGACCTGGCGGCGCATGGCGTCGGTTTTTTTTTCCCTCGGGGAACCCTGGAGAAGAATCAGGGAGCCCCATAGTTTTTTTTTTTTGATTCGCGTTTTGTATGTATTTGTGTGCTGTTTGTTTGAAGCCGTAGTTGGTGTTTTGGGATTATGGCTTCTTTTGTTTTGGGGGGGGGCCCCCGGGGGGACCCCTTATAGGCCTTAGCTTTTTTTGGTGTAGGTTTGGATTTGGATTTGAAGCCCGGGTTCTTGTAGGGGGTTAAATGGAAAACCAACCCCTCCTCAACCACCAGATTATCGCTCCAAAGACAAGTGGTTTTGCTCTGGGCTTTGCTTTAATTGCTTGCCGAAAGCGAATCGACCCTTTGACCTTTGGTTTTTTCTGATTTGGTCCATGTTTAGTCAACCAAACAAAAGGTTAGCCTGTTATTTCTGGTTCCTTTGGGCAAGTGATGTAGACACAATCCCAAAAAGGGTAGCCTCAAAAGAAGGAAAGCCCAAATATCCCATTTGGGGAACCCCGTTTGGTTGGTAATTGGGAGCCAAAAGGACAATGAACAGCTGTATTTGGGTGGGTGCCAGATTTCAATAAGCACCAAAATGGCAACAACAACCAATTCTTCATCTACTGAAAGGGAAACCAACATTCGCTCAAGAAACCGATCGCTGTTTCGGGGCTTTTTCGGAAATTACAGGATCCCTGGGTTCAGAATGGAAACGGAAGCTTCCATTTCCCAGTGTAGGTTACCAACGGCTTGCCCTTTGAATACCAAAGGACGATGGCGAAGAGCTACCTACTAACTGTATAACCGAGATCCACAGGGGCAACCTTCGCAAATTACTGTAATGTTGACTCCAGACTAACAAACCTAACAGGGGGTGGTGTTCCCGTCCAACAGCGGTCTGACACCGGACAGCACACATGAACCCGGGGGTTACTACTCCGGGCTTCCCAGTACAGAACATTTTCAAACTGAACAAATTGGACCCCCCAAGAACATGAACAGTCAACGTCCCATTTTTCCAGGGACTCCTTTTGGGGGGGTTCTAATCTTCGTTTTTTTTCGTGTTTGAGGAAAACACCACCCCGAAACCCGTCCGTTTCAGGCCCTGGCCGACGCCTCGGAGCTGGTGAGCATGCTGGGAGCTCGGATGGGGACACGCGCTTCGAGCTCCGAGATCCGGGCCCAAGCGAGGAGGGTTTCACAGGGATTTGCCATAAGAAGCCCTTTCGTTGGGAAGCCCTTTCGTGGTATCATAGCGGGTTCCATTTTCCGGTGCCAAGGAGCGGGGGGGGGGAGAATTCATTTGGGTTTCCATGGAGCAAACCAAACCCAACGAGGGGTGCCAACTCCCAAGGGCAGAGAACCAGAGGGGTGTTGGTTCGGGTTTCCGAGCCATTTCCCTGGGAACCTTCTGCTTGGCAGTTTCCAGCATAGGTGTCCTTTGATTGAAAATAGATGGCACTGGTTTAGAGTGTGGTTTTTAATGCTTCATTTACCAGGGCCATCTATTTTACCGAAAGGACACATGGTTTCAAGGGAACCACCAGTAAATTGCAACCTTAGCAGGGGAAATCCGATGTGACCCCTGTAGGAGCCCCCAAAAAAGCCGCGCCCAGAAAGAAGAAGCATGCAACCCACGTCTGATCCATTTCCGGCTTTTTCAAGGCTCCAAACACGCCTCCACTTGTGTAGTCCTGGCTTAAACCCCGCCTCCAAATGGTTAAAGGATTCCTACACGGGGGGTTCCTTAATTTTCGAAAAAGGGGGACCAAACGTCGAAGGCGATCTCTCGCATGGTTTTGCAAAGGAACGCCCAATAGTCTTGCTGGAAGACCTCCTTACCACAGCTTTTCAAGCCAGTGGTCGTCAAAAGCATGCCTGGTGTCGCCTTGTGCCCGCCTTTTGACAGGGATATCAAAATGGGTCCCCGATGTCAGCCTCAAAGAGGGTGGTCTTTTTTGGTCTCCCCTTAACAGCCGGCGCCCGTGGCACAATGCGAAACCGGGGCATACTTTCGACAACCTTTCATGGGGGTTGCTCACCATGCTGGCCCCGATTTTTCGCCCTCGGGAACAAGAGGAAATTGAAACGCCATTTGAGGCTCCTCATGTTTAAGGTGTCGCCCCAGTTGACGATTGGTCCCCCCCCAGTTGACCGGTGTTTGACCCAATTTCTTTTTGACAAATGCTCTGGAGAACACGGGGGGGCCAAAGAAAGCGCACAAAACGCCCAGGGTCGCATGGGTCGCATGGGTCGCATGGCGGTCGCATGGGGGTCGCATGGGTGGGATGGGGTCGGTCACTCGGTCACGGGTGACCCTGCAGGCTCAAGGGCGCGCGGATCTCAGTGGAGAGCCACGTGAAGCCCGTGAGCAAGGGCGCGGATGCCTTCTGGGACCGAGACCGGGGAAAACGGGAAATGGGGGGTAGGGGCCGGGGGGGTAGGGGGGGTAGGGGGGTAGGGGGGGTAGGGGGGGTAGGGCTCAAAAGTTGTTTTTTCATAAAAGGGAAAAAAAGGAAAGCCAGCCATTTGGAGGGGTACTTCTTATGTTGCCAGAAAACTGATGGCCTTTTTTTCTTTCTGGGTCCTTTGGCAGCAACTGAGCTCTGTTTCAGGGCACCCGTTTTGGACTGTACAGCAAAGCTAGAGGGAAACAATTAGCAAGCCACGAGGACAGACGGTTCAGAGAAGAGGGGTGCTTCGAGGGGACCTCCATGGTCAGGGTTCCATGTTTTGTTGACCCTTGGACTCTACTTGTCTGATTCAATATTGAGTCCACTTTCTCATATCGCTCAGCAAGCCATTGAGTCAGCAGCCATAGTTTTTCCTTTATGGCCATGAATTCAAATAAGGCACCCCCGGAAAGTGGTTGGTGGACATAAAACCCCACCTAAATGATGTCCACCAGAGTCCCTAATAAAAAATCATGCCCATATACAAAACTCAAGTATTTTTAAGGTCCCTGGGCGGAAATCAGCCACTCCCCGCCTCGACTTGCCCGGAACGCGCCCCGGAAAACGGGGTGTCTCAAATCAGGCCTTGTTTAGGGCTTATCTGGGCTCTCCCTCCCCCTCCTCCCTCCAGCCCAGCCCCCATGAGAGAAGCTGATGCGGAAAAAAGAGTGGCCGTTATTCCCAAAAAAAATCCACCAAAAAAAGGCTCAGGGAGTACCCGGCAGAGAAGGAGCCCACTTTTTTGAAAGCAAAACGATAGGAGCAGCTCGCGGAGGGCCGCGCCGAGCTCATTCGCCAGCACCTCGCGGCCAAGGCACTCTCGAGCTCGCGCCGAAGCCGAAGCCGATGAGTTCGAGTTGGAGTTTCCTTCCTTCCCCAGAGTTAGTTCCCCTTTTCTTTTGGTTTCTTTTTTTTTTTGGGGGGGGGGTCTTCATTGTTTTTGCACTACCCAGGCAAAAAAAGTGCTCTTTCTTTTTTTCTTAATTAGAGACAAGCTTTTGGGGCAATTCTTCAGTTGGAAATATAGGGGAGTCGGTCTGGGAAACGGGCTTTGCCCCGGGCGCAGAAAGGGGGCCCTAAAAACCTGGAGAGGGAGGGGGACCCTTAAACAGTGTTGTTTTTTGCTACAAAAGGGGTAGCCAAGAGGAGTTCCGTCGTCGAAATGACTTTCAAACAGGGAAAATCACGAGGTTTGCGGCTTGCAACTGTCTTTGAACCAGTATAAAGAAAGGAGTATTTGAGTAGGCAAGAGGAAACGCGATGTTCTATGGACGCTTTCGGATGTTTGCGGTGAAGGTGCTGAATCCCTTTGCGATTTACCAGCCTTTGTGGGCGGATCCTTCTTTGTGTTGGAGCAAGCCCCATGCATAGAAGTCAATAGAATTTGGGCACCGCTCAGGCGGTTTGGTTTTTTTCGTTGTCCTGGGGTTGGTTGGGGTTTTGCTTTTGATTCGGGGTGGTATCAGCTTGGCGTGCAATTCAGTGTCAACAGTGAGGTCGGAGTTTAAGTTGGTTGAGCTCCGTCGGTCTGCATAGACGTTTTGGTTTCAGACAGCCTTTTTCAGCCAAATGCTCCACTAGTGGGTCCCGAACCAAGGAAAATGCCGCATTTTCCGGACGCATTCTCCTCTGGATGGGTCCCCCACATGCAAGCGGCCTAACGCATGGCAAGCTACTGGTGGTTTCAAGGAAAGCCCCCCAAAAGCATGGCTTGCCTTTTCCCACTGGTGGTGGAGTAAATAAGCAGCCCCCATGATATAGTTGGAAAGGCAAACTATGCCCAGAAGTAAATCTGCGATGTCGCTAGGGTCCAGTTCCAAAGGAGTCCCTGGAAAAATGGGGTTGACTTCTCATGTTTTTGGGGGTTCCAAATTTCAGTTTGGCATTTCTGTAGTGGGAACCCCGGATAAATCAACCCCTGGTTCATTTCAGGCGGTGTCAGACCACTTTTGGACGGGAACACCCCCTGTTAATTCTAGGGACAGGTTTATTATCCTTTCCACAGTGCATCCCAGCTACCAGTATTAGCAGGCAACCCTTCGTCATGTTCCATTTGGTTTTCAAAGGCTGGTAAGCCCTTGGCTACCTACAAAACCAGAGCAAATGCTTGACTGCTATTGGGTTGGATCTTTAGACTCTAACTTGTTGGTTGAAATCAAGTTGGGTTTTCCCCTAAACCCTCCCAAAAGTGATTCACTTTTTGCAGGGGGGTTGTTGCAGCAACCAAGAATGGCATCACCTCCCAGCGACCTATTTGGATGTTTTGACGTAGGCTGAGGACGCTGAGATCGCGGCGAAGGGCGTGCCCGCTCCCCAACCAATTCGCGGCAAAACGCACGCGGCTGCCAAGACTCGTTCCCGGGCCCCTCCCAGAACAAAGCAACCAACGGGGGTGGGGAGCTGAGGGTTTCGTTTGAAGCTCAGAAGAAATGTGCGGTTTCTCGGCCTTTCAGAATTTAACAGCCATTCAATAGCAGGGCTTCTTAAAAGATACATTTTGCAACCATTTGAACATGGCTTTTTCCACCAAAATAAAGGGAAACCACCATTTAAAATTTACAAGGCAATGTTCAAGTGTATAATGTAAGGATCCATGAATAGGAGTGTTCAATTCCGAGTCTCTCTTGTCCATGGAGATCCACCTCCAACTAGCCGGTTGCCGTGTGAGGGCATGCCCTGTGTCCCTCCAGCTGTAATTGACTGTGCAAATGCAAGATCGTTGTTTTTCTGTGTATTTTACAAGGGAAAGTGGGAACTGCGCGTGGAAGTTGAATGAAGCGGGAAGATACATTGCCAGACAATTATTTTGTCCTAAACACAACAACAGATATTTTTTCCCTAAAACAAACAACTCAAATGACTTTTCGGTTTCTCTTCATCTCCCTTTAATTCTCAGCAAACAGCAGGCATGTTTTTCACGTTTTGCAGGCCGGAGTCGTCTGGCGCCCTCTTTTAAATTGGCTGGAGGCGTTTATTTACTTCCCCTGTTGATTAAGGGAATCGATCGCTGCTGGAAACATGTGATTATTTTTTTCCAGGAGGCGTCTCTAACTGCAAATGGAGATGGGGAAAGCCCACATGTCTGTCGCTTTCGATCACATCGACCTAGTGCGGTAAGATACCTTCTCAGTCAACCCGCAACGGGTGTCAGCAAAATCACACGGCATGGGTCAATTTCACTCGGGTTGGGTGCGAGGGCTTTTGCCCAGGCCGAACCGACAGGGGACCAACGCGGTGGTGTGGGACGCAAGACAGTGGGCGCAGGTGTTCTTTTCAGTCCCTCTTCCTTATTTTTAGGTTGTTTAAAGGGAAGCCACACAGAAAAGCAACTCTTTTCTTGGGGGTTGTATCCACTGGAGCTGGCAGCCGGCTTCTTTCAGGAGGAGCCGTGCAGTGCGTTGCTTCCTCTTGTTGGAGCTGATCCAAACGACATGTGCCCTTTATTCCCCTGGCCACTGGGTCCGGTGGTTGTCGGTTGGCTTGTTTGCGCTCTCAAAGTTGTTGGAGCGGCGGGTGTTCGGATAGCGGGGTAGCCACGAAATGGTTGGAATCCTCTTCTTTTCCCGAAATCAGAGCCATCCAGGGATCCCCATTTTTTTTTTACACCTGCCGCCAACCTGATGGAGCAACAAGTTGTGCCGCCTTTTTTTGCTGGAAACGTGTGTGGGATGCCAGGGATAGACCGGAGGTCCCCTTTGCAGGTTTAAGGCTTGAGCAGGGGTCACGGACGGGATCAGGGCCACTGGAGATCTGGGGTTCCACTTTTGGATTAGTTCAAGGAAGACTTAAAACCAGGGGTTCTTCTTTTTGGGGAAATGAACCAAAGTCTGACTGGGGTATTGCAAAAGTGGAACCCTGCTCTGAACTTTAATCAGGAACCAACATGAATCCCCCACGCACCCACACGCACGCTCGCACTCATACACGCGCGCACGCACCGGGCGTCTCGCTCATGGGTTTGTTGGGTTTTTGGGGGTTCCCCGCATGCATCCCGGCAGCGACCCTGGATCCCCTGTCTCTGATTGGATAGGGAGGGGTCCACATCCGTTGAAGGTGTCCCTTTTGAAAAATCCCATGGTTTGCCTGGGTGGGTAAGCAAGGTACAACAGGCGGTTACGGATGGGGATGACCCTAATGAAGTATGCATTCACCCAGATCCACGGTACTTTGCGCCGCAATCTGCACATACTCTACGTACTTGATACAGCATGTCAGCACGTTCTACGGTTGGCTTGTAGCATCGGAGCATCCAACGTAGTCACCCCATTAGCGCCTTACTTCTCAACACGTTTCTGGCGCTACTTTGTCTCAGATTCTTCTTCCCCCCGTTTCTGTTCGCACGCCAATCCTTACATTCTGGGCTCTTCAAAAGCAATCCATCCTTTGGGGCCAAAGGGGTCTTAGTGGGGAACCCCCAAACGGACTTCGTTGCGGGGAGGCCCCCGAATTCGCGAGTCTCGGCATCGCATTCCGCAGTCCGAATCCACGCGAGGTCGTGAAGATTGGGTTGCCGAGCGAGAAGTGACGAGGTCCGGAGGTCCGGAGTTCCCCGAAGCGGGTGGTACCTCCTGCGTATTTGTCGGACTTACTTGGACCAACGGCGAGAGATGCGCGCGCTCAGAGAGAGCCAGGTTTCACACGGCGCAAGACGCGCCAGGCGCCAGAGAGCGGCGAACGCTGCGCTTGAAAGGATTGCTCGGAAACCCTTTGGTGGTTTGGATCGGAGCTTTGGATTTCAAGCCCTGGTACTTCTGGTAATTGGGAAACTGCCCTAACCCCACCAATCCAAATCACCAAATAGAAGCCGAAAGGACTTGCTCCTGGTCCATTCGAGTGTTCCGTGCATGTGCCAATTCTGTTATTTTGCCACAGGGTGCGGTTGATTCACTTGCTCAAATAAGCGACCACCAAACCTTTCAGTCTCTCCCTTTATATGGGCTTGTCTCAACATTAGAATGGTTGGTTTCCTTTTGTTGATCCTTTGTGACACAAGTCAAAAACTGGTCCACAAAGGGACATGCAGAGGGCGTCTGCGATGTTTGAACCCGTATGGGTTCCGAAAAGGTGTCACAGCACAGCTTCCTTCTCGTCCTTCTGCGACCAGCTCCGCTTGGGGAACCGGTTTGTGCCGCCTTTCTTTCGCCCACTGGCATTTTGAGCATTTGAGCCGTGTCGTACTCCGGAAAGTTGCGGCGCCCGTGTGCGCAACGCAAGTATATACCATTCCTACGTGAACGTTTCGTACAGCTGGAAGCTAGACTCATACACCTGTCATGCCTTGTAGTGCAGGGCTTCCCCAGCGTTGGCTTCTTGTTTTTCCTCGGGGGCTTTGCCGAGTGCTTTGCGATGTTGAACAAAAATCCAACACCTGGGGTAAGAGCATGGAGACTGCCATGAACAGAGGTGGCCGCTCCGGCAGTTGTTTGGTTTTGGGTAAATATGTTGCAATTTTCATGCAATTTTTCGTGTTTTGGTATAATACTTTTGGGGGGGGGGGGGGGGTTCTGGCTGCTGAGTAGTCGTTTTCGTGGTTTTGAGCAGATTGAGCAGCCGAGAACCTGGACACGTCCATGGTTTTTCTGCTTCAACAGATTCTCTTCTGGGGGCTTTGCAGGAGACGACTAGGGTTTCTACATTATCTTATGTTGGTTGCGCATCTGTCACTGCAAGATTGGCATTGCAAATGGCTCTGTAAATTGCTGGCATGATGACCGGTTAAGTCAATTAGACGTTCTACTTGTTTTTCCCCTTTCAAAGGAGACCCTGAAGTTAGTCTCTTGCAGTTCCTAGTCTCACTCACCCACGGACTGTAGACTTTTGGGAACAACCATTTTCTAGGTCCCCCAGTAGTGCCCTTTTGCCCTTTTTTGGGGGAGGGTTCCCCTACTAAAATAGACTACAGAAAACAATGGTTCCCTTATTCTAACCTCTCTACTGGAGGACCTAGATTTTAGTGGTAAACCAAGACTTCCAACTTGTGGCCAGTCTCGATGGGAAAAGCGTAGCTTTGAGGCTGATCCGCGCAGCTGTCACTGGGCTCGAACGGAACGGGCCCTGGGGGCGCCTTGCGGCCCCCACGTCGAGGCAGGGAACGCGTCAGTCCGCTGAATGCAACACCCGTAAAAGTCCTGAATACAGTTGGAATGGGGTTGTGGGGTACTTCCTTTTAAGCAAATTACTAAATTACCTCATGCCCAGGAGAGAATCATGATTGTTGCGGCCCTCATCTTCTTTTCTCGAAATTTCAGGAAGGAATCTCCCAGAACCCCCGAAATGGGATTCGTATTCCCTCGGAATCTCACCCCGAGTCCTCAGAAAGAAGCGGAGACCACCCCGGAGAGGTTCTCAAAAAGTGCGGACGCCTTTTGGATAATACTTACATACGCAAAACAAACCCCTTGTGATTTCGGCGTGTCCTTTTGGGGGGGACCGGTTTTCCTTTTTGTTTTCCTTTAACAGCCACACAGAAGGGGTACCTTCTGTCCAAAAAAAGACGGGCCGCCCACAAACGACTTCCGCAAGGCACGAAGCTCGGCCGGCGGACGTCGGCTGCCGAGGCGGGAGGGCCCGTTTGTTTTGGACGAATTCTTGGGGGGGATGGCTTTCTCACTCTTTTTCAAGGTTACTTTAGTCGCTTTTGGCAAGGCCAGTGCAGTGGTAAATCAGAAGCTGAGCGACTTTGTGCGGCTCTTCAAAGTGTGGCCGGAGGTGTGGATGGGCTGGGAGAGGTGCCAGCCGTCACAGGTTGTGGCTCTGGGAGTGGTAGAGCTGTCCGGTGTTTTTTGACGAATTCCTGCACCACTTTGAAACCACCTGAAACCATTGTTGGTTGGTGTTTACAGGGGAATCATCATTCCAGGGTTTCTTAGGTGGTGCAGGATTTGGTCCATCCACAGTATGTTGAGGATTTGGACAAGAGGCTCACGGGGATGATGAGCAGTGCGGATCTGCAATATTGCTGTAGAATAATAGAATGCTTCAAGCTGATTGCCGCTCGTCATCCTTCCACTCGGAACAGCAGCAACAGCGGAAGGTCTTGGGAACAGCCGGATATCAAAGCCGGGCAGCCAAGATGACGCGGCGATCAGAAGGTGGCCTCAACTGAAGAGCTGCTGCAGCTGGGAACCGTGCAGAGTTCAGTCGCCTTGGTAAAATCTGTTTTGTGTAGCATTCCAGTGTCCTTGACACTAACCAGCATTTTGCAGTGAGATCGGCGACGTTTTCTTTGGCCAATCCGCCCAGGCGAGCTTTGGCGTTCCCTGTTCCATTTGGCTTTGTGGGGGGTTCCTTATGGGCCCCTTGCGGTTCCTTGAACCTTTGGGATCCCGACAGGTTAAGAGCGTCTTGCTCTTTGACCGACCAACTCGACCGCCAATGATCTCGCCAAATATGGAAAGCGGGAAACCAGCAAGAAGCGCACCCCGAAGTCATTTGGGCACCTTGTTCTTGTCGGCCGCTTGCTTGCCCGATGTTTGATGGTGAAAGGAAGGGCCAGGGCATCTCGAACAGCACGTGCGACACACTAGCCCTCGACAGGAATCAGAGGGGTGGCCCTCTTCCCAATAATAATGGAAGTGGGCTTCCAAAACCCTTCTGCTAGTTTCCAAAAATTGGAGGCAGGGAATCCTGGAGGGACAGAATCCGTAGGCAAAATAGACGGGTTGCTGAATTTCCCCAGTGTCTTGTATCTTGTGTTGTGCAGTTTACGGATTGCTGAGGATTCAGGATCCCGGCCCATTGCGTTAACAATCCGAAAAACGAGCCCAGATTTTATAGTTTTTTTGGGAGGGGTGATTTTATGTGTTTTTTTTGGGAGGGGCTATGAATCAAACATAGGTGCCCTCAACTAGCGGTAGTCAAGGAGTCCTTCGGAGCGATTGGCGAGATTGTTTTCTCGAAACTGTAGTGGCTTTCTCGGAAACTCGGGAGCCACACCGCAACCTACGCTGGGTTTCCCTTCGCATGCGCCTTGCAATCCCAAAATGAGAACCTCACAGCAACTTGGCAATGTTTTACCTCTCATTGTACGTTTGAAATGGAAGTGGCGAGGCGGGCATTTTGGGTGTTCTTTCCAGGAACATCTTTTCGCTCGATCTTCCCAAGCCTGTACTCCCAGAGTGCCCGAAGCCTGCAATGGTACAGATCCAAAACAACACCTGTTCATTTGGGTACGTGTCCAAATAGGGGACTCCAAGAACTGGTTGTTTTCCGGAATGTCCCCCCTTAAACCAAACCTTAAGAGGCTACCCTCAAAAAAGAGAACCTATGTGGTGCACTCGAAAAGTCTGCAAATCCCTGTCCTGTTGAACTGCGGGATATAGGCAGTGGATCGGTGTTTGGCAACTCCGTGTGTCGCCGGACGTCTTCTTACCCACGCTGGGATCGATTTTCAGCTGGTGTTCTTTTTCGAGGACAATTGTTCTTATTTTGAGTTGCTTTTTAAGAACAGCAAAAAGGGACGCCGCCCTTTTCTCACTTCCGGAGTTTCTGGGCTCCATACATTTTTGAGACACATTCTAGTGTTGGATACAACTATTTTTTGGGGGCGTGGGGCCATCCACGGCCGAAACTTTGGTGCATTTTGCTTGGCTGTTGGGGCTTTAACTTTTTGCCAACTCATGGGTTTTCCACTAAACCACAAAAAGTTAGTCACTTTTAGCAGGGCTTCGCAGAGTTCGCCACCGAGGAAAGGTGTGGTTTTTTGGTTCCCTCAAGCCGTGTCGCCGGGGCTTCTGGACAGGGCCATGCCTCGCGACACTGGCGATGGCATGCGTGCCACCGAGATCACCTTCCTCCAGGAGACCGAGGGCGTTTTTTTTTTTTTTTTTTTTTGTTTTTTAAATATATATATATATACATATATATATATATATCAATATTTAATTGGGGGGGTGTTGACCAAAAGGTCCCTTAATTACATGCCAAGTCCCCCAGTAGTGCCCTTCTCTCACCCCTTTTTTGGGGGAGGGTTCCCCTAAAATAGACTACGGGAAAAAGGGCACCCTTATTCTAACCTCTCTACTGGAGGACCTAGCAGGAGACTGACAGCGATTTCGCCATGCTCTTTTTATTTGGGGGTTGACCAAAAGGTCCTTTACTTAAATGGGATGACCATTGTTTTGCAAACCACTAACAGTGATATTTCAACCACTAAATGTGAAAACGTGGTCCATGGTCATGGGGGCCGCGTATACATAGATTACCCCCCCCCCATTTGGGCGGCCGGTTCCTTGTTAGGCCCCCAAAATGGTGGTTGTTGTCTTGGCTCTCCTGCAAAACCACAAAAACTACGAAAAGACGAGCCACCCATTTGCAAAAGGACGATGCTTTGTGTTCCGCTGGATTAAAAGGGCGTATTCCTTTCATAATTTTTCCAGGGGGACGTATCCGCAAATGGAGAACAGCTCCTGTGTTTGGTCTCGGCGCCCTTGGGTGTCCAAACCATGGTGTCATGAACAGGCTTGTCTAAGTTGACTACATGGGTGTGTCCTCTAGGGGACCCCCCCCAAAACAAAAAGCGTGGTTTTCCTTTTGGTTTCCCTTTCAACCTCCGAATAGCAGGTACTGTACCCTGCAAAAAGATAGACCCATTTGTGAAACAGCTGAGCATCGGGTTGCTTTGAAGGAAACTAAAGGGAACATTCGGCCATCATTGCACTCTGCTTTTGAGACAGCACCATGAGCGGCATTTCGTGATCCGGAGAGCCAACCATGGATTTATATTTAGTCCTCTAGCTATATACGGGCAAGTTGTTTGTGGTCTTGTACGGACCGAAAAGTGGTGTTTGGGTGTAGTGGAAAGCATCTTACTGAAGTTTGTACCTGTGGCTTTGAGCACAGATAGACATCCGAACTTCGCAATGATCTAAGGATCTCAGCCAGCAAAAAGGGAAATCCTCCAGGAATCCCCTTGTTTTTGGTGGGGATGCTTGACCAAATTTCCTGTAGAGCAGTTGGTTTCTGTGGAATGAGATGTCCACCCTTGAGGGGTCAACAACCGTAGTCAAAATCGGCTCCTTGCTGAACCTGGCCAACACCAAGCCATCGAAAGCGCGATGGATAGGGTTGAGGTGGTTGTGGCTGGGGCTGGGGTGGTTTCCAGACAGATTGAACAGGTTCCTGGAGGCCCTTTTCACCCTCCCAAGAAAGGGGCCTCGTTGTTCTGCAGGGTTTTGGCAACTTGCAGGGTAAGTCCACGTCGGAGCTCGCATTCGAAGACACAGTTTTGTGCAAGTCACTTGAGCCATCTTGAGCCACTTATTGAAACAAGACGCTTGGAAATCGCGCTCCGCCCAGCTTAGAGTGACCTTTTTCTTTTTTGAGAGTCCCTTCGAACCCAAGCAACAAATCACCGGGGTGGCCCGTTTCTTTTTTCTTATTTTGTTCGATCCACTTCCGAGTCCGGCTCCGATGGGTGGGCGCCAGGAGCAGAACAAGCTGGTTCTGGAGACTTTGGAGCGCGCCTCGCGCTCGGATCTTTCTCCGGAGCGCCGAAGCTCACAGAATGTCGGTTTCGGCTCGGTGCGGTTTGGTTTTTGCTGGCCACGCCACAAAGGCTCTCTCCAAAAAGCGAGACACAAGGCAGTCCCCCGCCTTTTCCGGACACCCCCCATATGTCAAAGGCACTTGCGGGTCCCATCCGTGGCACCTGCGGCACAAGCGGTGCCACCGGAGATCCGCCACCGAAATCGGAGGTTTCCTTCAGGCTGGGGTCCGTTTGGTTCTGTTTCTGGGGGTCAAACTGGTCGGTGGTTTCCCAAACTGACCCACCGCTTTGATCGTGAGATGGGATATGGCCAGAGAATTCGGGGGAAGCCAGTCGGATATTTCAGGGGACAGCAAAATACATATACCTAGGCGCCGGTTCTGCGGTTTGCAACCTTGGACATGAGATAAAATGGGTGTGAACCGAAAATAGGTTCCCAAAGTGGAACGTTGGTAAATGAAAGCAAGGACTAAAGCTCGTGTTCTTTGGTTTAATTTTAACCCATACACATATGATTGGTAGTCTAATTGCCCTTTGTCTGGGCCCAATTTTCAAGAAGGGTCCCGGCCCATAATCCAACTGTACGTGTCACAATGGCAGCCCCGAAAAGTGGATTTCTCGGTTTGCTTTTGGTTTCCCTTTCCAAACCAACTTTTAAAAGGGGCATGTTCAACCTATGTTTTTGGGCTGTTTTTGAAGGGCATTGATTTCACCTGGACATATGTTCTTTTGTCCAAGGGAGAGATCCGCACCAAGGGATCCGGAAAACTTTGATTTCGCGACAAGAGACACCCGTGGCTCCGAGTCGTGCGGTCCAAGGTGGAGAAGGAGCGCGAGCAAGCGCACGAGCAGATCAGGGCCTGCGAGGTGGGGTGGGGTTTTCGTTTGCCTGGTGTTGGTGGGGGGCGGGGGTTGGTTTGGGGGGCGGGTTGTTGGGGGGGGGGGGTTTGGTTGGTGTGGGTGTGTGTGTGTGTGTGGGGGGGGGGGGGGGTTGGGTGGTTTGGGGCGCGGGTTGTGGGCTTCCGGCAACCTTTGAGGGAATGTGAACTTCGAATGAGTTTTCCTTGGTTCCGTGGTTCCGGTTCCGACAACTTGTTAACTTCCTGACTTGGAATTCGCCAGAGGGTCCCTTTGTCGTCCAGCACCCCAAGAGTCAGGTTCCATGTTAGTGAACAGGAGGCTAATCCGGAGGACAGTCAGAGGAACCTCCACAAACAGTTCAAAGTCCAAGAGGGCCGCCTTTGACTAGTATGGGGGATTCACGCGAAGTTCGCATTGAGTCAGGGTTCCTTGAGCAGGGGTCCCTTTTTTGGCGACTTCAACCATTACATGTGTTGCCCATCCAAGTGGAGTTTCCCTTGGTAGGGACGATGTCTTTAGGCGACATAAGAGGAACACGGTTAAAAGTTCAAAGATACATCCAAAACACACACACACACACACATTCTTCAAGGATTTGGATCCTCTAAATCAGCTGGTATTGTGTGTATTATTATTATTATTATTATTATTATTATTATTATTATTATTATTATTATTATTATTATTATTATTATTATTATTATTATTATTATTATTATTATTATTATTATTATTATTATTATTATTATTATTATTATTATTATTATTATTATTATTATTATTATTATTAATATTATTATTATTATTATTATTATTATTATTATTATTATTATTATTATTATTATTATTATTATTATTATTATTATTATTATTATTATTATTATTGTTATTATTATTATTATTATTATTATTATTATTATTATTATTATTATTATTATTATTATTATTATTATTATTATTATTATTATTATTATTATTATTATTTATTATTATTATTATGTTGACTGGCTCGAATCTATCCTTTGAAGCGACCCTGTCATAGGTGTCCTGTTTGGTTGGCTTGTTTAAAAAAATAGAGGGCCCTGGCTTACCTGGTGGTTCAATGAGGCCATCTATTTTTCAAAGAAGGACACCTATGAACCCTGCATAATTGAGTTTGGTGTAACGGCCGAGCTTCGCCAGTTCGCCTCCCCCCCCCCGTCCCTTGAGAGCGCTCTCGGCTCATCAGGAGCGCGACGCGGCGCTGCAGAGTGAGCTGCAGGCGATCAATGACAAGCGCGGGGCCCTGCTGTTTTTTTTGAGGGACCCCCCTCCCCCCCCAAAAGGTGGTTTTCTTTTGGTGTCCCTTTAAAGCCACCGCAAAGGGCAGCCTCAAAAAACAGACCCCTTTGAGTTGTTTTAAATCTGTAAGGGTCCATGCTCCCTAACCTCAAGGATAAGAAGGCAGGTAATGGTAGATGTATGAATCGACATGGCTTTAATTCGGAACTCTTTGGACATGAGCGTGGTTGGGGATTCATGTCCAAGCACTGGTTGGTGGTTCCCCAAACCTGGGACACCCCCATGCAACCAAAGATGTAGGTCTATAGTTTCGATCTCAGCATTCCACGCCCAAATGGATATACTGCTATAGATATGGCAGGTGCAGGGGCCATCATGCGGGAATGGCCGTTTCTCAGCCACTCGGGGTTTCCGAAATGGAGGCCCGAAAGCAACTCCCGTTGGCCGCTTTAGCAGGGGCTTTGCTACCTGTTTTAAGTAGAAGAACAGTAACACCAGAGAAACAACTTGACAACCAACGCAGGAGAACTCAGGCACTGCTCTTCCGCGCATGTTCAGGCCGGCGCCAATTCCACGAGGGGTCGGCTCCCTCTCTCAAGGGCATTCCTTGTGATAAATGATGGGCTGTTGGGTTCAGTAATGTGGGGAAGCCCAACATAATTTGGGGGGACCCACTGGTACGCGCAAAAGAGAGTTCTCCCAACAGTTTGGGATACAACACCTAGATAGCCAAGTTGCGATCGCTTTGTTCAGTCACTGTTCCTGATTTGTGGGGTACAGTGGATGCAAAAAAGCGATCGCAACTGGCGATCCAGGCAGGTTATCTGGGATCTCTGTTGGTATCATTTCTTGTCAGCCTTTTAGGTGTCCAGTTGGTTGTAGAAAATAGATGGCGATTCTGGGTAACGACCCGGTTGTTTCACACTCTTCCAGGGTCATGCGATTTTTCCCCCCAAAAGGACACCTATGCCTAGGCCGCTTTCTTGGGTTCCTTCTGGGTGCAACTTGGGGATCCTGAAGCACTTTCTGTTTGATAAGAGTTCAGTTTTCAGTGACTCACAACGCCACGCGTCTTTTTCGTGCCCCCTTTTTTTGGGTGCAACTTGGCTCCATGTTTCCTCTTAGGGGGAAAACTCGTCACTCAGACTGCCACGCCCCGATCGCTGAGGATTGGATCTCTGGCCGAGCGGCTGCGACAAGACAAGTCCGAGACCACCTCCAAGGCCGGGAGTTTTCAACGCACGATCCGATCCGAAAGTGCGGAGCTCGGATGTTTCAACGCCTACTCTGCAAAAGCCAGGGCTCCGAAAAAAGGATGGCAATTAATTTTGCCTTTCCATTTGAAACATGGTGGCTTTTTCAACACCAAGATGAAGTTGGAAACCACCATTTGCAAGGTGCAAGGTTCAGGCGTATAATGTAAGGATCCCTGTTGAGGCAGTGGAATGTCTGGCATAGACAAATCCGGAGGGTTTCACTTGTTGACCCCGGTCGCCTTTTGGACCAAAGCGGAAGAGCCAAAAGCTCGGTTTCGGATTGATAACATCCGAACCTCCGGATGATTGACGGTCGAGGCCACCAATTGCGGCTCAAAGACATGTACAAACATGGGGCCTTGGTAGATGAAACCAAAGATGCCTACTCTGCAGAGTTAAATGACTGGCATAGAGAAATCCGGAGTCAGGGTTCCACTTGTTGAACCAAGTCGCCTTTTGGGGGGATGAACCAGCCCTGGCTTTAAGTAAATAAGGAAATATCGAGAACCCTGGCAAAAGCGGCCGAAACAGTGAAATATTCAATAAAATGTGGGTGGCCATGGTTTGTTGATCTAATCTTGCATGGGTGCCTACCCAGGCTTCTGTCTTTGGTTTCCACTACCAAGGCGCCATTTTGGTACATGTCTTTGAGCCGCAGCCACATTGGTTGCTTTGACCGTGAATCCGGATGTTCCGAGCTTTGGCCACTGGCAGGTAGACTTAAAGCCGGCGATTGTGCATCCCCCCAAATTCGAACCAGCCGAATGCATGGCGAAGGCTGACCTGTGACCTGGAATCCATGCCTATAAGAAACCGGCAAGGGAACTGCAAGCTGGTTAGATACCTCCAGGTTTCCGTTTGGCTTCCGAACCACCCAAGGGGTCCAATTCCTATTTTTCAGCGGTCAGCGCAAATCCATGTTGGGTGTGTGGCAGTTTCCTGCAGAACTATCCCAGTGCTGCTGGTTTCTATGACTTTAGAGAAGGTACAGTACCAGGAGTCTATGGTCCATGAGGGAACACTAAATTCCCTCAAAAAGCGACGACTCAAATGGCCTCAAGATTGGCTTCCCGCTTTGTCAAGCTGGGTTTCCTCTTCCTCTTGCAACACGACTTTCTACAAACTAGATGTAGAGGGACTCTCACTGCCGTTGGTTTTGCGCGGCAATATGTGTTTCATTCTTTACATGGTGTTTTTGGTAGGATTCTTGAATACAAAGTGCTAGTGACTCATTTGGCCCGTCCAGATCCAGAGGTTTCGAATTTTCGACATTTTTGCAGTACGGCTTGAAGAAGATCCTGAGCAAGTTGGTGGACGTAGTAAATGTCTCAAAAGCTCCATGGTGAGGGTGTGTGTTTGCCCTGGTGTAGCTTTCAGAGGTAGGTATATAGAGTGGCTTGGATTACTGGGAACAGTGGGTTGCCAACCCACTGTGCCAAACGAATCCTCAACAAAGTAATCCTAAGGATGGCCCGAGTTGGTAGGTATCGAACTGGATATTGACCACAAGGAATGTACAGAAGAAAAGATATCGAAGAACTAGTCATACAGGATGGTCCGCATGGGTATGACAAGGGTCGTTTCCATGGCAACTGTGCAGGACGAGCATGTCCGGGTCCTCTCGGAGCAGAACAAGCAGATGCTCGGGATGCTGGAAACCGAGGCGGGGCATGGGGCTCGCCTTCGACGCGTCTTCGACAGGGCGTCGTCGAAACTTCGGTGATTGAAGAACATGGGCGCGGCTCGCTTTTTTTTTGATACCTTTTTGTGGCTAGGATTGGGGGTTTGGAATTGAACCCGCTGAATCCTGCAAAAATAGGAGGCCAGCCCTCACCACCAAACCAGGAATGCAACAATCTTGTGGAGGGCAAATGGGAAGCCGCCCCTCACAACCCAAAGAGGGCATGCAAACCACCGACTGGGAAGCTGATTTTGGGGGTGGGTGATTTTGGGGGAGCCAAAAAAAGAAGCAATCATTTTAGGGGTCCATATCTATTTGGACGCATGCCCGTAGTTTTTCTTGTTTTTGCACAACCCGGCTAGATTCAATCAGCCACCAATCCTGGGTTCAAGTCTACCTTTGTTAAATCACAAATCGGGCTTGTTTTTTTGAGGCAACTCTTAAAGTAAGGGTGGTTCCCTTTGGCTTCCCTTTGAGACAAGCCCAAGAAGTCCTCTAAGAAAAGCAAAACAACACACCCGGATGGGACACTGGAGGACATCGCTTCCAACATGCAATAATGCTACTTGGTGGGACCGTTGAACGTTGTGTGAGGTGTTTCTTTTTCTTCTGGCACCAGTCCGCGCATATTCCCCTAGGGTGCAAGGGATATGTCTCAAAATCCCCCCCCTAACAAAAATAGCGCAGCAACGTGGTGTTCCCTGTAGTTTTCCTTCAAAAGCACCCCAAACAGGTGCACTCAACCAAAAGACACACCCGGACGTTTTGTTCCAGGGGTGGGAATCTGGGCATGGCGCACTAGCAGGCGGCTTTGGATCTAAGAACCCGTCCTTTTTCGGTGGGGAGTGGGGGGCCCATTCCGAAGTGGTCTGAATCCCAAGGAGTTGGACACTCCCATCTCTCAACATCGACCAGGGGCTTCTCAACAGGCGGCCATACCCCCTTGACGGGCTTTTGGATCCATAGGTGTCCTTTTTTGTGTTGTAGGAAAATAGATGAGGATTCCGGGTAGCGACATGGTTTCATATCCAGGCTAGGTTTTCCAGTAGTGCCCATTTACCCTTTTTTGGGGGAGGGTTCCCCTAGCAAGTAGACTACAGAAAAAAGGGTACCCTTATTCTATCCTCTCTACTGGAGGACCTAGCAGGCCATCTATGTTCTTAAAAGGACAGCTATGATTGAATCTGGTTCTCTTGGGGCTTGGAGGTCGGAAGGCTACTTTGCCAAGGAGTCAACCAACATCACCCAGAGGAAACTCAGCTAAAGGTGTCCGAAACATGATGTCAACTCCGGCTGAGGGAACTGCAGGGAATAAGGACCCATGATCAAAATCATTCCCGCTCAGTGGTAGGTTTTGAAGGGAAACAACCCATTCCCCTTGCGCTACTGACTCTAAGCCGCCCAGAAAACCGTCAAAATATTGGGGACGCCCCGCCAGGTGGTTTCCTGTTGGTTTCGCAACACCATCCCAAAAAGCGGTCCGCTTGGAGACACAGGCCCTGTTTTTTTCCCGGAACCCCAACAAGGTCTCCCAGTAGTGCCCTTTTACCCCTTCTTTTCTGGGGGGGGGTTCCCCTATTAAGATAGACTACAGAAAAGGCTACAGAAGAAAGGGTACCCTTCTTCTAACCTCTCAAATCTGGAGGACCTCTCCGGCAACAGGTCCTCCCCCCCCCTGACTCCTTTCCCCCCCAACAGCCACCCGACAGCCACCCCTTCGACGGCGGTCATGTGCCACAGGAGCAGAAGTCCAAGTCCACGGCCGCAGCCATCAAGCAGTTCGAGAGCGCCGGCCTTGGGGTTGTGAGGTGAGGTGAAGGGGCTGGGCTGGGGGTTGGGAAGGACTGGGGGGTGGGGGTGGGTGGGTGGGTTTGGGGGAGGGGGGGAAGGTCATGACCGTAGTCCTATCTTTTAGATAGTTTAGCCACAAATCGATGGGTTCCACTGGCTTAGCTTCCGTGTTTCTGCAAGCTGGGGGTTGGGGGAGTACTCGATTCTTGAGCAGCCTCGGGGTCTCCTGACACAAATGTTATTTTAAGGCCGGCGAAGCCTTTTTTTTTGGGCGGGTTCATTTGAAGAGAACCTGATGGAACCCCCCTGAAACCTCCCTCGAGTTCCGCCCGCCTCGGACTTTTGGCCTCTGGGGTCTGCGGAAGGGAGGCTCCTTGTTCCAGCGTGGTTGTGTCACCATCCAGGGAGCCGTTGGTGCCATTTCTCGCCTCTCCGTTTGACTCAACAGACGGGTTCTAAGAAACCGGGTTCCTAATGACCCCGTTGTCCATTCAGATCACTTCTGGTGGGCACCCCCACCCCCCTATTAGTGGAACCGATTCATTAATCTGGGGTCAGCATGACATGCCCAATAAATGGATATACGTACCCAAAAACCTGTGCTTCTGGATATGGCAGGTATGGAGGCCATCCAGGTCTATTTTGGGAGCCATTTTTTAAAGACGAACCCATACGATTTGGCCATCCGAGGCAAGAACCGCAAGCTGCAGAAGATTGCGGAGGTAACCGGGGGGCGACACCCTTGGTGTGCCGAAAGCATGGTTAAGTCAGGATCCATGGGTTTGCCCCAACTGCCTAGTATCTTTGTTCTTGTTGTTTGGGGGAGGGGGCCTTGAACATGACGAAACAGGGCCGTGGTGTTCTTGAAAAATGTTTGTGTGTGTGTGTGTCTTTGCTTGCTTGCTTGCTTGCTTGCTTGCTTGCTTGCTTGCTTGCTTGCTTGCTTGCTTGCTTGCTTGCTTGCTTGCTTGCTTGCTTGCTTGTTTGTGTTTTGTTTGTTTGTTTGTTTGTTTGTTTGTTTGTTTGTGTGTTTGTTTGTTTGTTTGTTTGTTTGTTGTTTGTTCGTTTGTTCGTTTGCGGTTTTTGTTTGCTTGTTTGTTTGTTTGTTTGTTTGCTTGCTTGCTTGCTTGTTTGTTTGTTTGTTTGTTTGTTTGTTTGTGTGTGTGTGTGTGTTGTGCCGGTGTGTGTTTGTCTGTGTCCTGTGTGTGTGTCTCTCTGTGTCTCTGTTTGCGTCTTTCTGTGTGTGTGTGTGTCTTTTTCTCTCTCTCTCTCTCTCTCTCTGTGGGTGTGTCTTCTCCTTGAGGGATCCCCCAAAATGGCTTTGGTTTTCCAGTTGGTTGCTTTTTTAAAAACACACAAACAGAAGAACCAACTCAACAAAAAACGAGGACAGACCGGGACGTGAGGGGATCTCGGCCAGGAGTTTGACACCGCCAAGGCGGACCTGGAGCGACAGGCCTTCAGAAACGTCCGAGGGTTGAGAGGTTCGCCGGTGGGAATTCTACGAACGGGTTTCCTTCCTGTGCAGTTTCATTGGGAACTTGTGGGGATTCTGTGAAGGGGTTCCTCCAGATCCCTTTTGGAACTTGCAGTTTCATTGGGAACCGTCGCAACTTTTGAAGGGGACATCCGATGGGTTCAAGTGGCGGGCTTGTGAAACGTCGCCTTTCGGTGGCTGCTTGGAATCCCCGTGTCACTCGTACCGCATTTCAGGACACTAGGTGAGGATGCAGCTGGCTGCTCGAAACTAGAGTTGGTTGCCCATTTGGCAACGGGCTCAAAAAAACGGAATTCCAAAATTTGGCAAGCCCGATCGGTAAGTGGAAACATGGACCAAATCCCGCGGTTTGCCCCTCCTGTTTAATTTTGAGCCACAGCCATTTGGCAACGGGCAGTAGTCATTGCCAGAGTTTGGTGCTGGGCTCTGATCGGTTTATGACATCATAGTCGTTTATTCGTGCGTGCTTGCGTGGCGGGGGCACTGGTGAATATCTCGCGGTAAGATGTGCCCTGCCAGTCTCAAAGCGAAGCCGAGACACAGCCGCCTGCAAGGGTAGAACAGCTTCGCGACGTCCCAAATCAAAAGACACACACACACACAGACACACCCCATTTTGCGCTGGCTCCACTTATGTGAGACAAGCCACTCAGCTGGACCCTCCTGGGTCCAAGCTGCTTTGACAGACCGAGCGTCGCTGAGCTTTTTGGTGTGTGTGGGTGTGGTTGCTTGTCTTTTCTTTTTTTCCAGAGGCACCTTTACGCAGCCCAACATGACATCTAGCTTTTTTTTGCTTGTGTGCCCCCTGAATGAACAGATGCCTGCCAACGCGTTCTTTTCTTCTTCGGTCATCCTCCCCCAGCCATAGATTTAGCTCTTTCGGAAAGGCCAGCTCGTTGGCCCAGTTGTCCAACCTTTGGTTTTTGCAAAGCCACGAGATGTATGCTGGAATCAGGGTAGGCATTCCAGTGCAGTGGTATCACAGAAGTGGCGGGGATGTCCACAGACTTGTAGCATCCCTTTGCCCGCCCGTGTAATTTGTGCTGGGATCAGGCAGCCCATATTTCTTTTGATCAAGGTAGAGCAGTTTCTGTTGTTTGGCAGATGAACAGATGTTCACCTTTGTTGAATGTTGCCTTCTTGAATGTTGCAATTGTCCAGTGGGAAATGCAGGGAGACCCTCGTTCCCGATGTAGCTCGGTTTTGGAATGCTGCACTTTCCTGACACGTTCTGTGCAGTGAGCTCGAACTCATCTTCCTGGCTAGGCCATGCTAGGCCCCTTGAAGCCTCTTCCCAAGTTCGAGGCTTCTCACTTCCCAGTTTTGCACTTTCCAAGTTGGAGAGGTCAATCTCGGACTTCAGCTCGCCTGCTTGGCCCTTGTGCCCATGAAGAGGTTTCCTTCCTTTGCGCGGAGCCCAAAACAGGGCTCCGGAGAAACCACGAATTCGGGGCTCAGAAAGAAAGCGGATCTGCGAAGTTCTCTGCGTCCGCAACTTTTGCACCTTTAAGTCCCCCGCGTGGAAGTATCCCCGTGGATTGACTACCCACTCAACCTGGCTCACCGAACATCCAAGTAAGTTGCCCTGATTTACCATGGCTTGGGCTGTGGGTGAAAAATAGGGTAACCTAGATTAAAACCCACTCTTGAGTCCACCACTCAGTGGAATCATCCTGCCATCAATGAACATCCCTTTGGTTTGGAAATTTGAACCCCAGTTTTTTTTGAAACCAAATGGAAAGGTAAACCTAGGGGAACCACCAAGCAGCCCTGCGCAGCTTTCCCCACGGCGGCGGCCTTTTTCGTTCGCCGAAAACCGAGACGCGGCCGGTAGGTCGCCGAAGCCAAGAGCCGGTGCGCCGACACCGTGGCGACGGTGAAGAGTACGGCTGCCCAAGTTGGATCTGGTGACCAGGCGGTGGTTCTCTTTAGGCGCCATTTTGGGGCGTGGCGATTTGGCCGTTTGGCGTCCCTTTAAACCAACCCCAAAAAGAAAACGAAAGGCGCTTCCAACGAGTTACTGGACTACTTTTTGAGGTTTGGACCATTTGAGGGCCACTTTGTTTGGCCCATCCACCCAAAAAGTGAGTTTGTTCGGCCCCCCTAAAAAAAGGTTTTCCTTTTGGCTTCTCTTTAAATCAAGGGTAGACGCCCCTAACATGCGGGTAACTTCCATTTGAGTGTCAGAAGTTTTGTGTCACTTTTCCACGGGACTTGGGTAAATGGAAGACACATTTCAGTGGGACCCTTTGGTGGACATCATAATTTCGGTAGAAATTCAGGTTCACCACCCACTTTTGAGGTGGTTCCCCATCAGAATTCAGAGGCACGTGACTGCTGCCTCGGGACCTTGTTCCGCAACGTTTTCCGAAACCACACATCCAAAAGGGGGACCTACTGCCCTCCAACTTCAGAGCATTGCCAGAGGTGGGATCTCACTGGGAGATTGGGCTCTGGTCAGCACATAGCTTCAGTTGAGATTTGGTCTTCCTCAAGCGAAAATGTGTTTGGGGGGGCCAGGGCATGAGGCAACCGAGATGGATTCCTCGAAGACTTGGCTCTCAAGTTCCAAAAGTTCACATGGGTTTTCCCACATGGGAAACGGCCAATGACCATTTCTTCACAGGGAGTTTCCCTGGGTCCCCCGAACAAATGGCCACGAAGCCATCAACGGCTTGATTTGGGAGCACGAAAAGTCAAGAGATGAACCCTTCTTCGCGCAGGGATCCAACGATACCAAGAAAATCATCTGATTCGCGAGTCTTGGAGTGACACACACACACACAGACATTTGGCTGTGGCTCAAAAAAACGTTCCCAAAATGGCCCCATTTGGTAAGTGGAGGTAGATGGAAACAAAGACCAACACAAGCGTAACCCCAGCTCTTAAATTTTGAGCCACACCCATTTGTGATTTGTCACAGCGATAGTCGAGCTTGGGTGTCACAGAGAGGGCTTCTCTAGTCAATTATGCCGAGGATTCAACATGAATCGCACAAGCTTGCCGAAAGGGCTGTAGACCTCCAACTATTCTTTTCTTGCGCTGGATGCCAACCTGTTGACAGACTACTTGCCCACTTGTTCCGGCCCAGCTGTCTCCTTCTTGCAGGAATTCTTCCTTTGCATTTTCCTCGAAGGCATGTCATTCCCGGGCATGAACAAGTAAAAATGGGGGGTAAACCCACACCAGTTGGCCAAGTTAGCACCAGTCAACCAGAAAGTACCCTCCAGCACAAGCCCTCCCGTCCAAGTCCAATGTCGTCGAAATCCGCCAAAAGGGTCCAGCAAAAACGCCAGTTAAAACAGCAGGGTTAATTCCGGCTTAGAGGTGGGTGATTACCTATACTTACCGGTGCTAACTTTAACACAGGAGTATCAAGGCGAGCTTTTCGGGTGGCTTCCGATGACCTTGAGACGCCCTGGTTTCAAGTACCTTCCTGGGGATCTGCTGAATGGGACACCACCCCGAATCGCCTCCCAACCGGGCTCCAAACCACCCTTTTCGAGGGAAGGCCACTCGTTGCTGTGCAGAGGCTGCTGTGGGTTTGGGGTTTGACGTCTGCATGGTTGTTGTTGGGTTTTACATTTTACATTTTGCTTGTTGTGGTTTAGTGGTTGAAATCCAACCACTTAAGTGCTAACATTTGACCAGGGCTCCGAAGAAAACAACAGAAGAAAAGATACATGTTGCCCAATTGAAACATGGCTTTTTCCACCAAAATAAAGGGAAACCCCAACCCCCCCCCCCCCCCAATTACAGGGCAATGTTCAGGCGTATAGTATAAGGATCGCTGTTGAAGTTTTGCTCCCCTTCCAACATCAACCAAGTCGGAAGAAATCCGAAGCGAGGCCAGCGCAGTCTCAACGAGACGCTGCGGCACGGGGCCGCAGATCCATCGATCGATCGATTCGGTGGCGTGGACCCTCTGCTTCCATTTGCTGAAATGATTTTTGTTCAAGTTATATTTTTATGTTTTATTTTCCATTTGCTGAAATGTTTTATTTGCTTCTATTTGCTTCCATATGCTGTTGGTTTTACAGGGAATCGATTTCACTACTGGACATATTTTTTCATTTTTTCCAGGGGGCGAACACGCAAATGGAAGTTCTGTCAAAGCAGAGCCAGTCCATTGAGATTCCCAAGGAAGGTGTTATGGGAGTTTCTCCAAATCGCCACTCGCGGTGTTGGTTGGTATTTCGACGGAAACGGCGGGACACCCGCCATTTTCGGGAACCCCGTGTATGTTTTGAGAATGAAGCTGGCGGATGGCCCCTACAGCCTATCGAATGTTTTGGGTGGTTCTTTCTGGCCGGTGTTTCCCGGATCCAGTGCCGGGTTGTGAAAGTAGCTCAATCATCCCTACCCGGCTTCGCGCAGAAAAGCGTGGCCCTTCTTTTGGATGGCGCGCGCTAGGATGTGATATGGGGGACCGACGCGGAGCGAAGCGGTAAGCGCATCTAAATGTCGCGTTCCCAAAGTGTGTTTTGCACCAAGCAGTGCAAGATCAGTGTTGACCAACAAGTGCAGGTGAACAGGATTTGTGGATTCGGGGCGCAGCGTATCTTTCAGAGCGACAAGCCGCAAATCACCCGCGACATTGTGCAACTTTGTGCTGCGGCCGTGGAGCTTTGCGTGGATGCGGCCGGGACTTTCGAACTTGTCTAGGAAGCGTTTTTTCATAGGGAGGGGGGTGTCTAGCGGGGCAGGATCAATGTTGGAGGGCAACACCCCCTCCAAGAATAAACCACAGGTTTATTAATCTTGGGTCAACATTAAACTGAACAACCTAGATAGCCAAGTTGCTGCTTTTTTCAGTCACTGTTGCTGGTTTTTAGGGTAAAGTGGATGGAAAAAAGTGATCGCAACTGGCGATCCAGGAAAGAAGAGACTTAAATCCTGGGGTAGGGCTGAATGCTCTTCGGGAGCCTTCAGAAGCGCGAGCTCACTGATCTGGTCCTTCTTTGAACATGTGGCAGAGGTAGTTGGGGTCTGGCCCCTTTTCGGGGCTGCTTCAAAGGAAAGCCAAAGGGACAGCAGAAGCCATTTTTGGGGGGTCCAACCGGTTTTATTTGACAACACCCAAATAAGGAACATCTTCGGTGATGTGGGCGTTGGAAGCAGCTTTGTATCAACGTGAAGTCTCCGTTTCCGCGCCCTCATGGTGTGTTGGAGCAGCGGTTTTGTTTTTGGACTTCCCTTTCAACCACCCTCCACAAACAAGCCACACCCATGTATAGCAGACTTGGTTCTACCCTTTCTGGATTTTGAAGACAAGAAAGATGGAACAACAGTTAACGCTTTCATATCAAACGGGCAGATGCCCTTTACCGAACTCTGTGATTCTGATTGATGGAACGCCAGGCAAGATCTGGTAAAACATTGCAGATCCTCAGCAAAGTCGCTTTCCAATCTGCAGCGGAAGTTTGCCCCCTTACTTCTGGTGGGAACCGCATGGCGCAGAGCGCCTCATTTGTGGAGACCTGTTTTCAGCTCTGTCGCCGTGTGTACCGTTTTCTCTTCGGAATCCAACACATGTTTTTTTGTTTTCTCCGTTCGGGTTGGGTTCCTATTTTCCTTTCCCCCGATTTGCCTTTGAAAATCAGCGCGGCGCCAATGCCCCAATAAAGCTGGGCTCTTCAAAGGCAATAATACAAATAGGACAATAGAACATCGGATTGGAATTCCACTCCTCCATTCTGAACTGTCCAGTTTTGATGGCAACGGTGTCCTTTTGGTTCCCTTGACCCACTATTGGTTGCCCTGTAAACCCCCACTTTTTTTTCCGGCCAGGTCAAACATTCAGAACACCGAAGCCAAGACTCGGGTCTCCCACCCGATGGGCGGACGGGTGTGGAGCGTCAAGCTCTGTCAAGGTGCCTAAACAGGGCTCCTTAAAAGATACATTTTGCCCATTTGAAACATGTTGCTTTTTCCACCAAAATAAAGGGAAACCCCCATTTACAAGGAAATGTTCAGGTGTATAATGTAAGGATCCCTGCTAAAGATCAACCTGTTAATTCCAGGTCCTTGGGCAAGGGAGTTATGGAAAATTGGTGGGGGGTGGGAGGGTCGTTTTTTGAGCTACCATTTGTGTTGGGTGGTTCTAAAGGCAAACTACAGAAACCACCGAACCACCGCCATTTTTTCGGGGTCCCCATGTTAAGACACATCCAGATGAGGGATGCAATATGTTTGGTCGGCTCATTTTGGAAAAGCTGCACCTAAACAAGTGATGCTTCCAATGGCAACCAAATCCCTCACACCATCTTGAACCCCCCCATTGCCATGGATTCGAATCGGCCAAAAAGACTCAAAGGGACACCCAAGCGAAGCCGACCACCAGAGTGTCGCTTCGGACCTCTGTGGAGTCAACACATGAGGATTGGTCCCAGTTGCAAGTAGTCTATGGTACATATGGGAGGGAGGGGGGACGAGCTCGAAATGTCCCACAAAATCAGGGGGCTCACCAAATGTCCCATGTCCTTTTCGGGGAACAAATCATTTTGACCGTGGAGATACCAGTGTGTTGCGAGCAAATTTGAGATTTCTCAAACCAGTATTGGCAGATGTGGCCTTACAAGTGTTGAAGCTAGGTCCCGCAGTAGTGCTTTTTTGTTTTAACCTTTTTTGTGGGAGGGTTCCCCTACTAACATAGACTACGGAAAAAGTTGGTACCCTTATTCAGTGTCTCACCTGGAAATGGCGGCGGCAATTATACCTCCGGTGGGAAACCGAGCTCCAGATTCCCCTTATGATTAAGTCGAGCTCGGCCTGGTGATCGGAATTCGGGCTGAATTCGAGGGGGGGGCTGAGGGATGCATCTCCCAGCAAGAAAGACGGAACCATACCCGCCACCAGTCAACTTTTTACGAACACTTGCTGAACCCGCCAAGCAAAGAGTTACTCCCCGAGTTGGTGATGTCAATGTTTGTCAAAACACAAGTTTGGGCGTGCTTCCCTTTTTCCTCATCTTTTTTTGGAGGGGGTGTCGCTTCAAAGACAACTAATGGGATCCCCGGATTGACAACCCCCAGTTTAGAAGCACGTTGCCGCTGGCTTCTTGGGAATTCATCACTTTTGGAAGGGACGAGACCCCTATTAATACTGTTGATGGAAGACATCCTGCACAAGTTGGTATACGATTCATCCCAGTATTTTTAGGGTTTTAACTTTAACCATCATAGGTGGTGCAGGATTCCGTCCATCAACTGTAGGACGTTTAAACAAATATTAAAAATCCGGGTGAGCAACTTCCGAACAGAGTGCCCTTGAGCTACTCGCTGAGCTCCCACGCCTGCGCCAGCCAAAACGAGAAAGACAGGCCCCCCGCGCCAGCCCCGCAGCCCTTTTGCGGCGGCGGATATCCGGGAACGCACGAACCAACTTGGGCGCCGAGCCTTCGAGGCCGGGCAGCCCGGCCAGCGGAACTCGAAACCCCCAGGATCGTGCCCTTTTGCCAATTTTTGATGGGGGGAGGGTCCCCGATCCTAAATAGACTACAGAAAAAAGGTTGGCACCCTTATTCTAACCTCTCTACTGGAGGACCTAGGAAAGGTCCAAATCCGGGAGAAGGGGCACGGAGAGGGCATGGGAGAAATGGGAGTCCTGTCGCCTTTTGCTGCCTTCAAAACTTCTTCCGTGTGCTGAAAGGATTTTGTTTTATGTCCCCCTGTTGGTTTTAAAGAGAACCGATGGCTACTGGACAGATTTTCACATTTTTTCCAGTGAACATAAGCAAGTGGAAGAAAAGTGGTCTCATTGAAGCCCAGCAGATCCAAAGGCGGAAAGCCGGGGTGCAACTCAACTTCTGTTAAAAAGGTATAAAAAGGTCTTCGCAGTGGCAGTTTGAACCGATAAATATGGTGAACGATTGAACTTTGGGGTCCTCCAAAGCGATGTTGCATTGGGTAGACCAAGTATGAAACAGAGCGAGAACGTGAACATACGTATCTTCGTTCTGTGTACGCGGAGCACTGAGCAGCGCCCTTTGCCGTGCTAAAGATGTACTTTGTGCCGGATCTGCGCTGGGGGGGGAGGGGGGTAGGCGCCTTCCTCCTCCCACCCAACATCCTCGAAATCATGAGCTGACAAGAACAACTGGCAGTTTGTTGTTCGCTTGAGCACAACTTTCTCACACGGGCCACCAAGCTGTCCCATGCGGGCCTGAGGTCGAGAAAACAGAATAATCATTTTGGGCCTCTCTGTGCCAATTCTAAGGTAGACAAAATATGAAGCCAGAATCTGAACATATGCATTGTTGTCCAGGTTCTGTGTACCCCATTTTTTGTGGGCCAAGAATCTCTAGGTCCCCCAGTAGTGCCCTTCTCTCCCCTTTTTGGGTTCCTCATTCCATCTCATTCACATGCCATCATCTTCTGTCATCACTTTCTCATCTTGGAAGCGTCCCAACATTAAAGACTGAGAATTGGGACGGATAAAAGCTTTAATCACTGTCTGTTTCCCTTGGATGAAGTACTGACATGGCCTGCGGGAAAAAAACAAATTCGGGTACCAGCTTACTCGAACCTCAACCTGGAGGACCTGGATTTGCTGAGGCTGGACCCCATCTTCCATTACTACTACACGTTCTGAGTCTCTGATGGATGTGCTGGCTGCTATCACCAGCTTGGAAGTTCGTTCGGCTGTCATCGGAGGCAGGGATCGGAAGATCGGAAGAGGGGGGGAGGTTGCGGGTGATCCATGGTTGGGAAATCGGGTGTTAGGTTGCCAGTTGTGTATTTCCACGGACAGTCGGCTTGATCAAGTGATCAAGTAGCTGGTTGGGTTTGCAAAAGGGACGGATCGCAAACGAGCGGGACATGGATGACCGTTGAATTGCGCAAGCCCCAACGGAATTCAACAAGTTGCTAAGCAATCGGAAGTGTCCAATCGCCAGCCAGGTAGTCATAGGGAGAGCCCATTGTATCACAGCAAGGGTTATTTCCCCCCCCAATGTTCAGATCTCTCTGCCAAGACAGGTTGGCTGCTTGGGGTAGGGAGAGCCCTCGGTTCTCAGAACCCGACGAGATATTTTGTTTCAGGGTAGACAAAATATGGAACAGGGTGAGACGAGTATCTCATTTTCTGAGTACCCCTTTCCAGCGGGGTCGGGGGGTGGAGCTTTGGTCCTTGGTTTTCCTCAGGTTTGTAGTTTTGCTGACCTTAAGAAAAGCCCTCTGGCTAGGATAGAGACCACCTTGAGGGGGTTCTTTCCCTTCCAGAAATAGGGGGACGCCCTCTTGGACAGGGACCTTATGCTTCTATTTGTCTTGTTTAGACATAAACATCACTTTTGGAGCTGTTACCAAATGAGCTTACGATAGGTCCGAACATTTTGCATGCTTTTCAGCCCCACGGCATGTCTCGACAAATCTGAATCGGGCCCCTTCTGGTTTCAAGAGGAAGCCCAAAGAAACCGCCTGAAGGACTCAGTCCCTAAATTGAGGAACACTCAGCGGTTCCGACCCTGACATGCGGAGGTTGTACCGCGAGAAGGTTTCGCCATGTTTCATGCTTCGGTCGGACCCTTCTGCCCTGGCAGCGGAACCCGTGCAGATTCGCAGAACTGCTTACGCGAGGAAAGTAGCAATGCCTTGCAAAGCCATCCTCTACCAGTTGGGTGTTTGAGGGATTGTATGTATTTTCCTGCATTGGGGGGCTGTGCGAAGGCGGGTCGGGTTTTGCTTTCAACAAGCGATTGGTGGCAGCATCCCATTGCCCGAGCTGTGCAAAGGAAAGGAGAAGCCTCTTCAGGGTTTGGGCGACTCTCGTTTAAGTCAGACTCTTGTCCAATCCCTTTAAAGGGAACCCAAGAGGAGGCGATCTGAGTGATAGTGCTTCAAACCATGGTTTCAACAACCTGCCAGGAGGTTTAAACCATAGTCTAGCGGTTCCAGCCATGGTTTCCAGGGTCGAATTGCCTGAGTTCCAAGTTTGCGTCCCTTGGCTCAGGGCTCCTGGCCTTGACTGTTCATCTCGTCAAGGTCGGGGGAGTCGATGGGTTGGGGGAGCCGATGGCTTTTTAAGTTTTCTAGGGAAGCCAAAAAGAGAACGAAGCCTAAATTGGGAAACCACCAACCGCAAGTGGTTGGTGCACATAGATCCCCGCTGAATTATGTATCAAATGAATATTCATACCTGCAGAGATGGAACCCTTCAAAATTGGCGGACACATTTGGTTTTCCCTCTAAAACGCAACAATGGTACTGACTCAACAAGACATCATGCGAGAGGTTCATAAGGCAGGGTTGGTCGTGAGCTTGGAGGAAACTGGTGACCATCTTCCCACACTTGACCTGGAGATGTGACCCACATACCACACCACCCCTCTCTCGCTCTCCCTCTCTCTTACTCACTCACTTCCCTGCCTCGCTCCCTGCCTCGCTCCCTGCCTCGCTCCCTCTCCCGCTCCCTCTCCCGCTCCCTCTCCCTCTCCCGCTCCCTCTCCCTCTCTCTCTCTCTCTCCCTCCCTCACTTTCTCTCCCTCTCTTTCTCTGAACTCCGAGTCGTTCCAGCGCTCTTTGACGGATCAACCATGGCAGTTTCATGACCATTCGACGGGTTCTGTGGCAACCTGAGCTGGAGCCAGGCAGGTCTGGCCGTAGGCTGCTTCTTCGTTGTGCTGACCTGGAATTTCCCGACACCAGTTGCTCACTTGGGGCCAGAGCAAACGAGCTCACCCGAAGGTCCCTCCCTTCGAGGTTTGATTGTTCTGGTTTTACAGGATTTTATCCTTTTCCTTGTTGCTTTTCAGGGGAATCGATTTCACGACTGGACATATCTTCTCCATTTCCCCCCAAGACATTGCAACGAATCCCATGCCACGCATGGGATCCCTTGCAACGCCTCCCTGAGACCTTCCTGAGCCAGGCCTCACTCGACATATGGCTGTGGCTCAAAATTCAAGAGCTAGGGTTACGCGGTTTTAGTCTTTGGTTCAATTTACCAAGGTTTCGTCTTGGTACATTCATTTGAGCCACAGCCATATGTTCTCCATTTTTCCCAAGAACTCGCACCGAATCTCAAGTGGCCTGGGATCCCTCGCCCTGAGACCTCCGCGCCAGGCCTCCAAGCCCCGAGCGTCGCGGCCGGCCTTGCGGCGCTTCCCCAAACCCACCGCCCCGCGGGTCCTGGGGGCACTGCTTTGCAGCAGCCTAGGAGGCGGGGGCAGGGCGAAAATGGAGCGTGGGGAGAGGTTCACATGAAGCTTCCGGTCAGATGTAGATACATGACGAAATCTATGTTGGCCACCATCTTTGATTCTAGGGCATTATGTTGTCCTTTTCTGAGGTAATGCCACAATCAACCCCCCTGAGAGTAGTTGAAGGTTAGTAGGGACAGTCATAGCCACATGGGTTTGGGTAGACCGCTTCTGTACCAGATGTCGATCATGACTCAAATGTCACGGATGGTGTTTTGACGCTCTTCCTTTTTGGGAGTCGAGTCGGAGTGGACCAAAGGCTAAATTTATAGGTCCTCATATGGGTGTAGCTGAAAGTTAGACAGGAGGGGTTACGCAGGTGTTGGTTTCCATGTTTCCACTTACCAGGGTTCATTTTGGGTACCGGTTTTTTGAGCCACAGCCATACATGAACCCATGGCGATCCATTTTGGACCCAATTTTGGACGGCATTTTGGACCCATAAGCCACAAACGGTTCAACCCACAAACTGGGGCGCGGGCTTCATAGTGGTTCATATGGATTTCATATGGATTTCATATGGATTTCATATGGATTTCTTGGGTTTCTATGGATTTCCATAGGGGTTTCTGTGGTTTATAGGGAAGGTTTCTATGGATTTCCATAGGGGGTTATATGGTTTACAGGGAAGGATACCGTTTCAATTGATTTCTTCTGAGTCATTCGAGCTGGCTTTTCTGAAGCCCACCACCGTTTAACCAGAATCTAAACGATGGACTTGAATTCGGAAGAAGCGCCTTTCTGGCGAAAGCATGAAGAGCTTTGGCCGCAGCCAGACCTGACCTTGGCTCACAGATCTTTTGCTTGTTCACATGCTGGACTTCTTTATTTCTTGCGAGCAAGGAACACGTGTTTCGAAGGCATACCGAGCGTGAGGCAGTCAATGTGTGGGCCTGTTCTTTCGGGAGAGCTTGAGAGGGTCGCCTGAGAAGACGCCGAACAGAGTTCGGAGTTGCCAAACATCTAGGGGTACCTTCCATTTCCATTCTTCCCAGGGATCCTCTAGGAGACCTCCGGAAACCCAGGGAAAACGGATCCGGTTTTTGGAAAGGACGATGGTTGAAAAGAATGGTTGGACTCAACCCCTAGAAGACACAGCTCGACACCTGGATGTTCGGCCAAGTTGGTAAGTGGTTAGCCAACCCACTAGCAGGGTTAGTTCCATCCTGGAACAACGTACTAACCTGGCCCCAAGCAGGGTCTCTAAGGGTCATTATTTTCCTTTGGTAGTACGGAAAGAGAAACCGCACCATGGGACATAGCAGGTGGTGGATGTGATTTTTGGAGTTGGTACCTGTTTCCTGGTGGTTTTCACAAACTAAAGTTTCTTGGCGACCCCAAACTAAACAAAAGCAACATGTTCGCCATGTTTCTAAACGGTGCCCTTTCCATTCAAAGGGCAGGGATCCTTCTCTTCAGAGAACAGGCTCAATACCCAGGCAAACAAGGCTTCCGCCAGGGTCTTTGAGGGTGACGTCCAAACCCTTCTTTCACGTCAAAAGATTGGAAGACCAGGGATCTGGTTTCTGAACCAGGCGAATGCGACCCAAGACGGGGGGGTCTCCTGCAAAATGTGTTTGTGCATTTCAGTGTCTGAAAATCTAAGAACAGAATCAAGCAACGCTAGAATGGAATTATTGCCGATGGTTTCCAGACATCCATTTGCTTAAGAGCATAGTTTTTTTCCCTTGTTGTGTTTGATTGTGGAGGGAATTTCCAATTTTTTTCAGGGACCTGAAAAAGCAAATGAGTCACAATCAAAACCCGGGTAGATGAAGGTTAGTAAGGGGCAGTCCCAGCCGGGAATAGTTGCGGCCGCCTGTGCAATTCCTTACATGGTTCTGGGTAGACCATTTTAATACCGGGTTTTGATTGTGACCCACGTCTCGTTTGGGCAAGAGTCCATCTTTGGCAGAACAGAGCCGTTGCATATGTACCAGGTTTTGATTATGACTGAAATAGAGTACTCCAGATTCTCGCCGCAGGCCTGTGCGTCCATGCCTCCAAGAACGCGGTGGAGCACGGGCCCTTCTCCGTGAAATTAAGGCGCCAACGGCGATGAAAAAAGACGTCGGTGATTTGGCTGTGGCTCAAAAATAGGCACCCAAAATGGCACCTTGGTAAATGGAACCAAAGGCTAAAACCTGCGTAACCCTGGCTCTTAGAATTTGAGCCACACCCATTTCTCCCCTGGAAATTGATATGGGTTTGTCACTCTTCCTCAGTTGGTACCCCCTTTTTTGTGGCTTCGAAGGAACAACAGGAAAACCACTTTCTTTTCGTCTTTCAGTGTTGTTGTTGTTGTTTTTTTTTTGGGGGGGGGGCGGGGATAAAAAAAGGACAGACCCATATGGGTGCGAATTTTAATATGGGGCCCTTTGGTAGACATTATTAGGTGTGGATACATGTCCACCAACCACTTTTTTAGATGGTTCTCCGTTGTAATTCCATAGCCATATGGGCCCCACCCCCACCCCAAAAACAGAGCAACCACCTCAAACGCAAATCACTTTTTGGGCCTCCGAAAGAATACTGTCCTGTGATTTTGACAGTGAAGTCCCTGTGTTTGGATGAAGGTAGGGCCGGACAGGCAGGGATAAGGAGCAAAGAGCTGGGAGTTTACGTGGTGAGCTCACCGATTCGGGGGTAAAAGGAGCGAGCTCGGCAAAGTCCTGCACTTGGGGATCCAATTCCGTGGTGGCTGCCGGCCATCCGGTTCCTTAGCTTGGACTTTGAGGGTTTAGTGGGGTTTCCACTTAACCCACTGAAAGTTAAACGTTTAGCAGGGGATCTGAGGACAGATTCTGAGTTGGGGTTTCGAGTCGTTCGACACTAGATGCAGATGCGCAAAGAGAGTCCGCAACCTCATTGGCCAAACTCTGCCGCACAGTGCCTTTAAGTACTCAGAAGTTCAGTCAACCGGCAGTCTCTGGCCGATTTGGAGTTCAGGACATGGGGGACAAAAGGAAATACACTAGGTGCCCCAGTAGTGCGCGTTTACCAACTTTTTTTTGGGGAGGGTTCCCAAACTAAAATAGACTACAGAAAGAAGTTGGTTCCCTTATTCTAACCTCTCTACTAGAGGACCTAGTAAAGCGTGCCAAAGGGGACGAGCGTGAAATTTTTGACCAACATCCCATGTCCAAGCTTGTTCTGTTGACTAGCGCACAGAGTTGTTTATCATCTGTGTCAAGGCCAATCAGAACTGATCTTTGTCTGGCCAGCAAGCAAACTCAGCAGTTTATGAGGGGGGGCAAAGCGCGGGGAGTTTTGTGAGTTTGGGCGGAAACGGTTAAACGTTCAAGGACAATAGAAATTAAGATGTCCAATCCAAAGGGAGGGAATGCAAGATAGGGGGAGGGTGGAATTCAACTTAACTCGAGTGATTAACAGGTTGGATAGAAGCTTCAATAACACCTCGTGTGTTTGTATGATGCGGTTGAAATCTCAGACGATTTGGACAGGACGACAATCAAACGTGCAAAGTTGGTTGAACTGATTGATGGTGATGTGTCGCTGAACTGTTCTTGTGAAAGTGAGATAATTGCAATGGGATACCTTAAAGAGAGGACAAACTATATACATGTAGCATCCTATAACTCTAGGGGAATCTCTTGCCCATTCTTTCCAGGGATGCTTCTTTTCAGAAAACCGTCAAACACCCAGGGAACACGGGTGGGTTTTTAAGAGGAAGGATGGTTGAAAATAATGGTTGGACTCAACCCCTAGAATAAACCACATCTATATCTCTCTCTCTCTATATATATATATATGGAGATATGTCTATACGTATATATATATATATATACACCTCACTCCCTGAGTTCCTGGACTTTAAACTTTTTGGGAAGACACCATTTTAGTGGTAAACAGAAAGTTTGAACTTTTTTTGGCCCATCAACTCAGGAAGTGAGACACATACATGTGGCATCCCCTCGAAGCCGTTTCTTAGGAACCCATTCAACGGGCTCGCCCGGAAGTCGCGCTGCCAGGCGTCAGGTGATCCCACTTCACAGCCACAGACTCAGCGGCGCGGTGAGTGAGGGGTTCTGTCTGAGAGGTCTTGAGTAATTTGGCAGCCACGGCTGTGTCTCTCAGTGGAAGCTGTGGGTTTTTGCATTCCACCCTGGGATTGCACCCTTGGGAAATGACCCAGGATGGTTCAAAATAACACGGTCTTGTCCGGAAATGTGCCTAAATGGGGTCAATACCCAGTGGGTGTATTTGCAGGGTGTAATACAAAACACCCTTAGTTCTGGTCTTTGATTTTCCGGGCCCACCGCTAACTTTCTGACATCCGACACATCACGCTTGCACTTGTGGCAAAGGCCACATTCCTTTGGCGAATTTTGCTTGGATGTTAGGACTTTAACTTTTTGCCAACTCATGGGTTTTCCGTATTAAACCACAAAAAGTTAGTCACTTTTAGCAGGACTTCGCAGAAAGCAACCGAGATTCCAAATCGGCGGATGAACCAAGTCGAGATTTGGCAATGACGGCAGTACATGGTTAGCTCTGGTGCAGCTGATGGCCTTGAATACTTTTGGGGGAGATCAGTGTAGACCAGTTTGGGGGGATGCGTTTGGGGAATGCACCAAAAAAAACGTTTGGGGAAGAGCAGTGACTTTCATACTTCTGGAGCTCTTTGGGACTTTAATACTTTTGGGGGAGATCAACTCCAGTTTAGTGGCAAGCGACAAGTTTGGACTTTGTTGGGTTGGACTCCGCTCAGGAAGTGAGACAAAGAGGAAGCTGGCCCTTTCCACTCACACGGAACCTGAGGGCCCGGGAAGACGATTTTCCTCCGAACCAGAAGGAACCCTTCTGGTGGTGTCCATGTTGCGCTCCACACAAAAGGGGCACTTTTCAGCTGAACAGCTGGGCAACAGAATTCAGAACCCTGCTGTTTGCTGTTTGAAAGACTTGACTGCTATTGGGCAACGGATCTTTAGGCTTTAACTTTTTGGTTGAAATCGAGTTGGGGTGTCCACCAAACCCCCAAAAGGGTTGAACTTTTTGCAGGGGGGTCCTTGCAGCACCAAGAAGAGGGGTCTCCCGAAGAGAGCGCCGCAAAAGCAGAAGCATGACGGGTAAGGCGAATCTTGTGGATGTGCTTACCGTCTTGGTGCTACCTGCCGCGATAGGCGAAGAATGAAAAGATCCAATCCTAACTGCAAGACGGTCGGCCCTTGAGATTTTGGCGCCTCACAAAGATGCTTGGCAAGTGTTCTTGCGGGTGTGTCTCAGTGAGGAGGTTTTTTCCTCATTGAGATTTCGTGGTATTCTGAACGAGTTCTTCAGTTCCGTTTATTGTATTTGTCGGGTATGTCTCTTAGACTCTTCGTATGGTTTCGTATGTCCTGGCCATAGGTGTGCTTTTTAGGTTAGTTTTGGTTAAAAATAGAGGGCTTTGATTCCATTCATCAGGGCCATCCATTTTTCCAAAAGGCCACCTAAGGTCCTGGCCCTGTCTAGCAAGAGGCCTCTCATCTGCCGCTTGATGTTCTTCTCACGTGTTGCACGCCAAGGAGCCGGCATTAAATCACATCGTTACCCTGGGGTTCAGGCAGGCCACCAATAAAAAAGACTGGGGGTTCCTATAACCACCATTATTTACCTAAGGATTGTCATCATCCAAATTGGGTCCTTGCCATTCTTGTAGTGGGGGTTGAACCCCAGGGATCATATTTAAGTTTGGCGCTTCGCCTCCAGAATTCACTTCCAGCAGCTCTTTGCTCGCAGGGGGGTCTTTTTGCCACCTTTTGTGAGAAAATTGGAGACCTTCACTACAAGGGGGTCGATCATTTTTCCACCAAAGGTGGCAAAAAGACCCCCCTGTTTGCTCGCGGATGCCCTGCGTTGCCTCGACGCGGACGCCGTTTTAAAGGAATGAACCCGGGGATTCCCGAATAAAGGACACCAAATCGTGGATGGTTTCTCTCGGGCTCAGACTCCATGCATCTAAAAGCCCTGCCTCTCGCGTTCGCCAGATTTAGGCGAGGACGGGGTGGTGCACCACAAGAGCGCCTACTACGGGGAGATCTCCGTGGGCACGCCCCCGCAGGCCTTCGAGGCGCCGCAAAAAAATCGCGGGCGGAGGCGGAGGGCTGGGTGGGGGGGTTGAAGGCCCGGAGGAATGATCAACACGTGTGTGGCAACACAACAGGTTTATTATGATTATGATTATTATTTTTATTAATATTATTAATCTTATCATTTTATCTTATCTGTCACAGTTTTTACGTTTTTTTGTTTATTTATTTATATATTTATTTGTTTGGGGGGGGGGGGTGCGGGAAAGCACATTTTGCTCAGTACAGGGCTAACCTTGCTATCTGATTGGTTCTGTGCGTCACAATCTTGTGAAGATGAGTTCAGTCGCAAACGGATTGTCTTGGGCCAATACACTCGATCGGAAGTGTAGACGTATTCAGAAACAACTTGCTCTCTTTCCAAGGATCATGGAAGTGGACAAGAGTGGGCCCCAAAAGGGAAAGCTCAGTTGCCCAAAGCCAACCTTTTGACCTTTTGCTTTTCCAGTTTTGGTCCATAGTCAAGGTCAGAAAGGGTGATCGATCACCTTTCATTTCGGGCGGGTGAAGAGGAAAGTCTTCCGCGGCGGGCGCGGCATGTTTTGCCGCCTCAGGTGGTCTTTGACACCGGCAGCGGGCATCTAGCCGGGCCCTCAGCGTCCATCGACCTGGATCCGGGTCACTTTGTTGGAGTGGGGTGGGGGGTTGGACCAGGTTGGACCCTGGAGTTTCTATAGTTTCTCTTCCATTTGCTGAAATGTTGTCCATTTTGTTTCTAAGATGGTTTTTTAAGGAAATCTATCACTACCAAGTGCGAGACACAACATTTCCCAGGGGGACGGATTGTAAATGAGGTTTCTAGTTGCATGTTCCATGTGAGGAAGACTAGGCAAATGGGATTGGAGGACCCACCCTGAAGTCCCACCTGAGGTGTGCCTTGCTTCCGGTTTGCGACTTTTAGTAATTTGCCCACATTGAAGACATCAATAATTTCATGAGGATGGCACAATGGCGACTCGGATGTCTCGAAATTCACAAGTTGGCTTTACAAGGTCGACCCCCCAACCCCCAACCCCCCACACCCCGAAACCCCCTCCCCCCCACCCCAAACGCCCCCACCCTCCCCAAACCCTCGCGAAGCCACTCAAACCCTTAACCTACCCCAAACCAAGCCCAAGCCTCTCCATCCATTTGCTGAAATGAATATTTGTCATTTTCCCTTGCCGGTTTAAAAGGGAATCGATTTCACGACTGGACATCTATGTTCTCTCATTTTTTCCAGGGGGCGGAAACATCCCAACTGCTCTCCCCCCAAAACCCCAAACTCCCCAAACCCCCCAAACCCCTCCCCAACCTTCGCTCCCCCTCCACAAACCCCCCTCCCAAGGCTCCACTCAACCCCCCCTCCCCCCAACACCCCTCCCCCCGAACCCCCCCGAGAAACCTCTCCGAAGTCAGGTCTTGCCCTCCATCATGTGCCGCTCCGACACCTGCCTGAACCACCGCCGCTACCGGCGCCGCGCCTCTTTGGCCGGGCCCCAGGGCCGCGTTTCCGGTTTTCGGTGAGTTTTGGGCGTCAAAACCGCCTGGGTTCAGCTTCTAGACACACAACCAAACGGAAAAGCCGCAGACGCTTCTTGGGGGTCCCAAGGGTTTTAACACGTGCAAATGTTTTGGCGCTCTGGTTTGGCAAGTTTCGAAATATTTTTTTTGTTTTTTCCATTTTGCCTCCCTCCCCCAAAAAGAAAGACAACACTTAGAAGAAAGAAAGATGTTTGAGCCTGCTTTTCAGGCCACCCTGTTGCTTGCTATTTCTCTACCAGAAGAATGAACCAGGAAAAATGGGCGCGGCCCATTTCTGCATCGAGGAACCCCTCCCGCCTTCCGCGCTCGCCTTGAGGTCGCCAAAGACATCGACGTGGACGGCACGCCGGTGCTGCCGAACCAGGCGACGAGCGCACGCGCGATATCACGGGGAAATTTTGGGATCCGTTGGCGTCTCTCAGTTGGGCAAAAAACCAACCGTTTTGACATTTTGTTTGGGTTCCTGGGTTTCCCCTTTTGGGTTTCCCACTTTTTAGGAACATGGAAAGGATCCAAAAGGTTCCGCTTGTATTTCTAGGCGCTGTGAAGCGAGCGAGGTATGTGGGCTAGTCTCAAACTGGAACTCCGAAATCCATGGTTCGCTCCCCTTTCCAAATAAACCTAAACAAGGGCCATGGTGAAACCAGTGTAAGTCATGAAGGTCTACTTGGGCTGCATGACTTGGAGGCCAGCTCACGGACAGTTGCTGGGACGTTCAAGGCTTCAGCACGTGGCTCATATGAGTATGTCAAAACGGAACGGACCCCAGAATTTGGGAGGTCCGGGGGTCCTTTCCGTTTCTCTTAATCCCAAAAAGGTACCCCCAAAAGACATCCCGTGGGTTGTTGCCAATTAGAGAGAGTTACCCCTTTGGTAAGCTGGCGTGAAAAAAGGGACCTATAAGGGACTTGTTTCTTTCAGTAGTCGAAGCGTCCATTTGCAAGGGACTTAAGAACTCCAAATTTCAACCAGGAAATCCTGGGGGACGGAACCTGTATTTTCCCGCAAGGGTAGCAGCGCATCTTGGCTCATGTTGGGAGGTCCCTTCGAGATGTGTCCTGTCCCATAAAGGTGCCCAGGACATCATTAAGAAAACAGGATGTGAGCCTTACAAGACGTAGGGGATTGGCTTGGTTTCCGTATCTTCCATATGCTCAAGAATATTCTGGAATTGTCCCGTGGCTCCAAAGGGGATCTATCGGCAATCTATCACTACTGGAAGTATGTCATCATCTTTTCCAGGAGACTTACAGAAACAAATGAGCCACACTCAACACCCGGGTGGGTGAAGGTTAGTAAAGTAAGGGACAATCCCGGGGATCAGCTCGGCTTGCGCTGTAGACACAGCACACTAGGCCGGCCAAACTTCATCGTGTAAAAAAACAAAACACCAAACACAGTCGCTGCAAATCTGTATTTGCCTGGGGGCCGCAACAACGTGTTGCCCTGAAAGAAACACTACGCGCGACAACAGCCACCGCCTTCTTGATTCTTTACATGGTTCCGGGTCCCGACCATTTTAATGCCGGGTTTCGAGTATGACTCGCACAGAGGTTTTGGCTCACCTCTGACCGTCTGACCGTCTGACCGTCTGACCCCGCTCGGGGCACGGCGGGCGGTCTTCAGGCCAGAGATCAGATCACGGTGTCCTACGGCACCGGGGAGATCACTGGGATCTTCGTGCTCGGGCGCCCAGATCAGCGCAAAGCAACCCACTCAGGAAGTGAGGGTTTTTTTTCTCGTTTTTTTCCGGCTTTTGCAAGCCCATGACCCAATCTGGAGAGCTGAGTCTCAAGATCTTTCTTTTGGGTCCAGTTTTCGTTCATTCCAACTCCTCTCGAAGCCCTGTTCTACCTGGTACGAGGATAGGCCTTGCCGATCTGAGCCTTTGCAATCCTCTTAGTACCAAAAGTTATGTTCTAGCTCAGGTTTTGCCAAGCCGCGTTCGCCCTCGGTCCTAGGCAATCAGGGTACAATAGGTGAACATGTGCAAGAGGCACAACAGCCAGCGCACATCTTGGGCTTCCCTTGAAGCAACTCTCCAAAGGGCCCCCTCCAAAGGACACACCCATATAGTGTTCGCGGCGTGTTCTTTGCGCTGGTCTCCGTGTACGTTCGATCTCCATGCAAGCTTCTGCACAAGTCTGCGCAAGTTCCTCTACACGTTTGCCTGACCGAGTCCTCGGTGACATGTTTCTTCATAGTGCTCCGTGTAAGTTTCTCCCGAGTGTGAAACCGGATTCGGGGCCCTCGATTCGGCCAGCTGCGGGATTGAAAAGAGGACAACACAGGAAGCCCTCCATGCTGGGAAGGGGGTGGTTTGAAAAGGAGGCAAAAGAACGCTTTGGCCATTTCTGAGGGTGTTTGGATGGTTTCAACAGAAGTGGAAGCTGCGGCCGTTCCTAGGGAGGTGTTGCATCTGACTCTGCCCAAACGCCGCACCTGATTCACCTATGCCAAAAGGGGACCCCTACGTTGACCAACACAATGTCGCATGTGAATTGCTTAATCTCTGAGACTCCGTGGAATTCACCCATGCCCACCCCGAACATACCAGAAGGTGAACTCGCCTTCTGGTCCAAGGGGATCCGTCCCAATTCAGACCGCAGGCAAGACAAGGTGTGCCTGGGCCAAGCCAAGGTGCGGGAGCTCGACATGTCTCCAGTTGTCCAAGACCTCCGGTGGTGGCGTTTGGGTGGCTTTCCTCTTCAAAAAAGGGCATGCCACTTTTTCTGGCCCCTGGAGTTTTTTGGTTTGGGTATAGAAAGTCAGACTCGCAACATGAAGCCCACCTATCAAAACCCAACTCTGCGCGCCTTTCCTTTGGTGTGCCTAGAGATTGCCAATTGCCCAAGCTTCGCCGCGTATTCCATGAGTTGAGTCAACCACTCGCCCAAAAGACCAAAGCCAAAGCGAACATAGGTGAGCTTATTCCACGGAAATTTAATTTCTTGCGATTCATTTGTACATCCATGATTGTCCATTCCATAAACCGGAGTTCCAAAACTGGGGCCCCTCTAATGGCGGTTCCCAACCATTGTTCGACTTTTGCACATGTCTGGTTCAGGGGAAAGCTGCACAAAGACAACTCCAGGGTTTGATTCTGTTCAAAACTCAGCTGTTTGCCCTGGTGATCGCTGGAAAGAAGGACATGGAAGCTTCCTAGAAGGGTACCATTCTTTTCCACAGGGGAAATCGACAGGAAAACCACCATTCTCGGGTCCCTCTTATTTGACACTTAAGGAACACATGGGTAAGTAAATCACCCAGATGCCAAGTGGGTTGCTCCCTTTTGTCCTTTTGTTCCCATGGAAATCCACTGGGCATCTGAGACCAGCAGGAAATCCACAGGAAATCAGCAGGAAAACCCCATTCTTGGGTCCCCCTTTGACACATGAGAAGCACAACATTTTGACCGGCTGAACAAGAGGGACCGGCTTAACATACGGCTACAAACACTTGTTGAACACATAGGCCACGTAAGTACCAGGAAATCAACCGGAAGTCAACAGGAAACCCCGCCATTCTTGGGTCCCCCTTGTTTGGCACAGAAGAAAGACATGGGTAAAACAAAATCACCCAGTTGCCCAGTGGGTTGCTCCCTTTTGTCAACTTTTGGGAAGTAAACCGGCTGAACAACCCTTTGACGACCAAAAGATGGCCGAGCCACGGGGGTTTTTCCTCCAGGCCGCCCCGCCGTCGCCGGCACCGGCCACTCCTTCCGGCGCGAAGATGGGCGCCAGCGGCGCCTCGCTGTTGCAGCGGCTCGGCGATGGCCAAAAGAAAAGGAGTGAGAAGGAAGGCCCGCTTTTTTTTGAGTAGGAGTAAAAATAATATTTTTTTGAGTATGCCTCTTTTAGCTATTTTTGGAGTATGCCTCTTTGACCTACTTTTGGAGTATGTGTCTTCTACCTATTTTTGGAGTATGCCTCTTTGACTCATTTTTGGGGTATGCCTCTTTGACTCATTATTTTTGGAGTATGCGTCTTTGTTGTTTTCCAAGATCCAGCCAACCTTTAATTTTCTGAGTATGCCTTGTTTGTGGGCCAAGAGGTGTCCAGCCTGCGGAACAGGGTCGATTTGCCAAGCTTTTCTGGATCTGGCTGGTGGCATTGGATTCTAGTCAAGTCCAAAACACTGAGTGCCCATCCTTTGATTGGCGGGCATTGGTCGTTTGACACCTTGAAACCAATCCAAAGTATGAAGGGTGAGGTGACATTGTCTTGCTCGATTTGGGTAGGTCCCTGACAAAATCCACGCCAGGCAGTTGGGACGGATGAACCCCCATGGGTGTGGCTCAAAAATAGGAAGATGGGTTGCCCTGATAGAAGGAAACGCCATGAACAAGACTAAAACCTGCGGTCTGGCTCTCAAATTTTGAGCCACACTCTGAGTGTTTCATGGGATAGACCATCTAGCAACTGGCACGAAGTGGGTGCGGCCCAAAATTAAGCAGGAGGGGCAAACCGCAGGTTTTGGTCCATGCTTCCACTTACCAGGGCTTGCCCCATTTTGGAATTCCGGTTTTTTGAGCCACAGCTAAGTGGATATCGTCCCCCCGCAGTTGCAACACTTCGCTTAGGCTCGACCGGGCACGCATGGCGAGCGCCTCGCAGCTCGTGGAGGAAGACGAGGACGAGGACGCGGAGCGCGGGGGAAGCCGAAGGAAAGGGAGAAGAGGTTGTCCGAAAGGAAGCTCACTTCCCGCACTTCCCTAGGTCCCCCAGCGATTGGTGCCCTTCTCTCCCCTTTTTGGGGAGGGTTCTTCTACTAAAATAGACTGCAGAAAAAGGGTGCCCGTATTCCAACCTCTCCACTGGAGGACCTAGATGGACTTTGTATACTTTCTGGGACGACGTGTTTGTGTTGAACAGAAAGCTGGGACTTGCTTTTTGCCATTCAGGAAGTGAGGAAGTAGTCAGGTTTCAGTGGCTTTTGGAGGGTATTCCCCCATTCTGATCTATTCTGGTTCCAACTCAGCCGCCAGTCAAACCATGGCGCCGTTGGCCACGTGGGTTCCAGAGATTCCAGAGGCCCAGAAAACCAGAGCCGCGAAGAGGGATTTCATCCGGCCACGGGGATTCCCGGGCCATAAAAAGACGGACGCGTCGTGACCAGAGATCTTTTTGGAGGTTCTACTCGGTAGGCTCGTGTAAAGTAAAGCTTTCAGACTTGGCACCAAAAGCCGTTCTGATCTCAGGCGCTGGCTTCTGCTAGGTTCAAACAACTTAATTCGTAGCTTAGAACCATGGCAACTTGGGTTGGGGTTGGGGCCCCCTTACCATGGTCAGCTACTAAGTTTGGTTGAACCTCCAAGTGCTGTCTCCAAAAAACCGCGGGGCTTTTTTTTCGTCCGGCGAACCCGCCTTCGGCTCGCCTTGCCTTCACCTACGAAGTTGGTTAAACCTCCAAGTGCCTTCTCCCAAAAACCCGTTTTTTGTGTCCCCCTTTCTGCTTCTTTTTTCTCCCAAAAACCCGCGTTTTTTTGTTTTCTCCGTCCGATGAACGCGCCTTCGCGCCATGCCTTCGCCTCCAGGAGTCGGATGGCCGCCCAGACCACGGCTGTGTGGACCTGCGCCTGGTCTCTGCCACGGATATGACGGAGGATCCGCCCGGAGCCTCGGGTTCGACGGTCGATGTTTGGGCTCTTCGGAGGGGAGCATCCGGGGACAGAGGCTAGACCCAAATGGCTGTGGTGGTCAAAACCGCTTTGGGATCCCATTTTGGGGTTTTCGGTGCACCACATCATTATTTTAAATCGAAGCCCAGCAGGAGACAGGCCAATTTGTTTTTAGGGATCCCTATTTGAGAAACATGCATATGATATGGCGTCGGCCAGGTTGTGGGGCAGACGTTGTGCAGTGCTAAATGGTTTGGCTGATTGTGGAATAGGGCTTAGGCCACGGGGGGGGGGGGGGGGGGGATAAAAGTTGGGAGCTTGAGGTGTCCACTTTGGGTTGGATCTTTGGGCACATTTTGTGGGCCCCAATCACGGGTTGCGTTGGTTTTTTCCCACAACCATGGGGGTTGGATGGTTAAGCATTGGTGTACCTGGACCAATTGCCACGTAATGGTACACTCGGGTGAGTTCCATGTTGGACAGGGGGATACCTTGTCGGAAAGAAATGTATGGACTGGCTAATGGGCAGTGGCTCAAGCATTGAAACGACCATGGGTTGGCCTGGGAAATGGAAAAAGACTAAAACCTGCGGCCCCAGGCTCTTAAGTTTTGAGCCACGCCCAAATGATACAGGTTTCCTCTTATGCCAAACTGGTGCGTGCCTTCACAGGGCTCAAAAGGACCGGCGTTTTGATGTCGGGACAATTCCAACCCGCAAAAAAAAAGAAGAACCAAAGCTTAGTGCACCCAGTTTGTTGGGGAGAGGTTGGGATCATCCTATGTTCTGTTACCCAGGTTCTGTTTTAAAGCACCGCTTTGGAGGGCAAGCTGCCAGCCCGCTGGCACAGCGACTCTCGCGCGCGCGAAGCGCGAAGCGGCAGGTTCTCCAGCTTCCGCTTCGACGGGGTGCTGGGCCTGGGTTTGCCCAGCCTCTCACAGACCCAGGCCTTTGGGCCTTTGGGCCTCGCTTCGTTTGGGCGGTTGGGGTTGGGGGGTGGGGGTTTCTCCCGTTTTTTTTTTTTTGCATGGGCGCCTATGCGGATGTACTTGGTTTGTGTGTTGGGCGGTGGGGGGGGTGGGGGTTCTGGGGTTTCTGGGGTTTGGGGGAAGTTTGGGGAGGGTAATTTGTGTGGCACGGAAGACTTCACAAAGACTTTTGTCCGACCATGGTTCTTCTTTAAGCAGAAACCCAAGAAGTTTAGGTTCCACCCCCCCGGGTTCAACGGGTATGCGATTGTCGGGTATGCGTATAGCCATTGGGGGCGAGGTCAGCTGTTGGGTCCTTGACTTGGGGATCGCTTGCTCCGGGTTTTGAACTTCTTGCAAACTTTGCAAGTGCTCACTTGTCCAAAGCCGACCTTTGGCCTTTTGGTTTCCCTGATTTGGTCCATTTTTAGTCAACCAACCAAAAGGATTTTACCTTTTGTTTCCGGGTCCTGTGGGCAAGCGAGAGTGTCCCCAAAACAGGTTCCCTTTGAATGCCATGAACGGGGTCTGAATCCCATTTTGAGAAACTCCGAAAATAGGCAGTGCTTGTTTTGCAGGCAATACAAAGCAGCCACGACCCCAATCCCTTTGCCAGGAGTTCAACTTCCTGGAGGCGCCGGTCTCTGGGCCTCGTGCGCCCTCGTTTGGACCAGGGAGACCAAG